GGAGTGTGGTGTACATCAGCATGACACCCAGGCAGTGATCTTGAAGCTCACTTGGGGCACCATATCCTGAGTCAGAACCAAAAAAAAAGCCCCACAACTGCCTCTGTAATAAAAAAACTATGCAGTTATTTCTAAGTTACTGCAATAATTAATATAACTTCTGTAAGATTAAGGGAAGACACAGGCCTTCCTTTTTTTTTTTTGGGGTGGTTTTTTTTTTTTTGGTTTTTTTTGTCTTCTTACCTTACTTGCTCATCCCTCCAATGCATCAGACATTTACTGTCTAGCCTTTCAGATCTTTTCTGGGTCCATTGGAAGTTTGCATCCTCCAGTACTCCAGAGCCAGAATTAAAGTTTATATGCAAATTATGTAACTTTGATAGTATTTCAATGGCATTTTGTGACTCTGTAGTTTCATTGGTTTGGCACACTGTTGTGTAGCAGCGAACTTCCCCTCACCCTCATCTTGTTTTAACATCTCCAAATAATTTCCCCAAAGTAAAGTATTTGGGAATAGATATAACAATAAGGAAATACGCATTTCAGAAAAATTACAAAAGGTCTAATACTGGTTATATTCAGTAGTAACTATTGTGTTAGTGTTTTATACAAAATATGACTTTGCGTACAGCCTTTGATTTATGATAGAATCAGAAATACTTTTAGATATTACAGTGTTTCAGTGCTTCATGGAGCTGTGGATGTACATAGTTTACATGAATTGGTATGATCCTTTTTAACCCCATGTAATGAAACTGGCAAAGCAGTTTGCTTGAATGCTGCACAGTGAGATATTGGTGACTCCAAAGAGTTTGGAGAGACTTCTAGTAAATGGACAAATGACAAGGAAGGGCTAATGCTTTTGGCATTCTTTCTATATTTGTATAAATTTACATATGGCAGTGCCAGTCTGGCACTCTTTATCCAAGCAAATATTTCTTGATGTAGGGTTAGGAAGGAATAGAGTATGATTTGAGAGATTTTGCCTTTTAGGCAGGTCCCTAAGGGCTGATGTGGGCATCACATGACCATGCCACAAGGTGTCCTCTGCTGTCAAGCTCCGAGGTGAGAGCTGAAGGCTTGATCTGGCCTTCAGAGGTACAAAAACTCAACAAGACCCCAGAGGCAATAGCAGCAGTTGGCTGCAGCAGGGAGTATCTGCTTAGTTTGTAGAATGGCTGGTGAACAGGTACTGCTGGCTGCAGTCTGAGTATAAAAGATGGGGGATCTAAATCTGAACAGCTTTGTACATTAGCTCCTCTGATTAAAATTTCATTATCAGTATTTCTGTAGCAGTCTGTTTGGGCAGCTCTCCCTCTACCTGCCAGATATGGATCTAACTGGAAGATTTTAAAGAAAATGTCAAGTCCCTGTGTACAAAAATTAATAAATAGGAAAATAAGTTTTTTAACCATATGCCATCTTTTTATATTCTTTTTCTTAACTAGTTATTGATATGCAATTTGTATATTGAGATGTCTGATTTTTGAATATACAGAATAAGATCTAGGCAAGCCTTCCTTTTCTAAACATTTTTTATTAATATGAAATAATCACTCTGCTAACTTTGTTTTCTATTTTCACAGTAGGTTTGATAAAATGACATGTGCTTAAACATGGTTATTTAACTTACCTAATTTGGGTTCGGATAGTGAGGCAAAAGCAGTGCAATTTTGAAATGTCAGAGAGGATGTGTGCAGCTTGTGGAGTTGATAGGTGTGAAAATGCAGACTTAAAAGATATTACTTGCTTTGAAAATCTGTTATGACTTGGCAATAGCAATGAATCTGCTGTAAAGAAAGGGACAGATTTATTTTTTTTTCCCTTGGATTACTAAGTATTTTGAGTAGAACTCATAGACTATTTCAGGTTGGAAGGGACCGTAAGGATCTTGGAGTCCAACAAACACTGTGTTCCTCACAGGACTGCCTAAAATTAACCCATATGACTCAAGGGCATCATCCAGATGCTCCTCAAGCTTCTCTGCAGAGCCTGTTCCAGTGACTGGGCACCCTCTTAGAGAATAACCTTTTCCTAAGGTCCCCTCAGAATTTCCCCTGACTTGGTTCCATAGTCATTCAGAATTGTTGCTTTTGGCCGCTTTCTGTGTTTCTTAGCTTAAGTAGGAATGTTCTTCCAAACCTGTGTGAGGTTGGAATAAGTGCAGGACTTAACAAACTGTATCTTGGAACAGCTGCTGCTTCACATATGCTCGTTCTGATCTGCAATTAGAGGCTAATCAGGAATGTCCTTACAAGATGAACTTTTATGTGGCATTCTTAAGACATTTTCTGTAAAGGTGTTGTACTCTTTATGGACCAGAGCATTACAGAATTACCAGTACTTTCTTGAGCTCTTTCTATATGATTCTTAAATTCATATTTGGGTTTTTGAAGAAGTAATTGGATTTTTCAGAAGTGCTGAGCAGCTGCAAATCTGTTATGGCTCCAATGCTTACTCAGGGAAGCGAACATTTTATGGTAACTCATGATTTAGCTTCATATCTCTCTCTTAGTTTTGACGTCATTCAGTTGAATTTCCTATGGTGGTGTTGGTGGAAGATTAAATAAATGAAAAATTTACTTAGGTTTTGTGCCAAGGAATAAAAATATTCCTGCTGACTTTTCACAACAATGATCTGTAAGGTTTAGATAATGAAAAGTATCCTTCACAAAATCAATGTGTAGGCAATGTGATTTAGGTGAAGGTATTTGTGTGAGCATGTAAAGTCTGAGAATCATACAAGGATTATCCAGAGTCTAAAAACAAAAGGCTAAATTCTGCTCTGGAGACAAGACAAAACACAGAATCTTACATGTTGCCTGATTCCTAGCTGATTTTGGAGAGACAGAATTATTGAGGAAAAAAATATATAAACCTGAGATATTACATATGTGGGAATTATATCTGCAGTTCTTATACACACACCTTCTTTCTTCAGTACAAAAATTAGCCTCATAAAAAATAGCCTAATATGTCTTAGACATATTACAGTGTTATTTCCACTTTTTTTCCATACAAGCTGGAATAAGAAAAAGTTTAGTAAGTCAAAAGAAAGTTGTCATAAAGAGTATTAGGGTAATAGGAAAGGAAGCACAGAAGCCACAGTTAAACCTAGGAGGGAAAAAAAAATCATCATCTTATTTAACTCTGGAATATGATGTCTGCTTCTGAAAAACCTGACTGTACATACAGAAAGCAATGGGTTCTTTGTCAGTTTTTTTTACCTTTGGTGATATGAAATGAATGATGAGTATTGAAATACAAATAAATACCACAATAGAATTTTTAAAGCTGGAATTATCATACAAATCTTGACAAAGAGATTTAAAGATGAAATTTCAAACCTATTAACTCTTTAGAAAATTGAAATAGTGGGACCTTGACATTTGTGTGTGATGTCCCCAGCCTTTATTTAAACAGATATATTTTATTAGCATATTGAGTTTGTTTAGGTTAAAACTGATGTCTGGTATGTCTTGGTATTTCTGATTTATATATCCTGAGGTCTGATTTGCTTTAACCTCTTTGCAAATAAGCAGGCTATCATAACTGTGTGAACTTGTTTCGTACTACATGAAGTGTAATGGTTGAACCTGAAATGTCATGTCTACCTTTTTACTTTATTCAGCGTTATCAAGACTAATATACAGATCAAACATGCAAATAAGAAACTTGTAACTATAGTGTTAAGTGGTGTTCTGCATTCTCTATGCCAGGCTTCATTCTCTATGCCAATACCCAGCAGCCATGTGAAGTCAACAAGCGTTTGGCTGGATACGAGTGCAGAATGGAGGTTTTGTAGTCCAGAAGAATTTGCCAAACTTCTTTGTATTTGTGGTCTAGTCTTTTCAGCAAAAATTACACTGAGTGAATAGATAATGAAATTGCAGTAACCTATGGGACTACTTTACAATCAGTGCATGCCCTAAAGTATTGCTTTGTAACATCTGTTTTATACTAAATGTTGGTGTTCAAGTGAGCCTTGTTAGCTATTTGACAGTGACAGACAATGATATTTATAAAACTGTTGCAATAAATGCCGTTTTAGTCTAAGAAAATGTGTGGTATGGCATTTATAAAGTGGGAAAAAAGTCTCCATGAGATTAAAGAAGTCTCTGCTGCTGCCTATGTTAATAATTCATTCCCATGGCATGGGCTTTGAATTTATTAGCCTGACTAATTCTATTTAAGTCAGTGAGGCTGGTCACATTAGCAAATTAACAGATGTGAAAAAAACACTTTTTTTTTTTTCACTATGTGAATCACAATAAAGCTGTAAGATGGTGTCTATTTTAGCAAAGTATTAACCACATTGTCAGTTTCTATAAGTATGTAGAATTTAGAAGGCTCCTGTGATGACCTCTGTGTTGTGTTTTTGTAACCTATTTGATACAAATATGATCAAGTTGCAGTATTACAATTTTGGGTGTTCTTTAACTGTCTTTACCACACTGTTCCTTGGCCAGAATGGCTTCTGAAGCAGCCAGAGCAGGCTCTTGCAGAAAAGAAGAAAATAAAACTATATTAGAAATTGGTAACAGAGAAGAGGAAGTGCCATGATACTCAGCAAGCAAAAGCAGCTGTAGAAGTCTCTCAAACAGGGATGCTTTGATTTGTGAGATCTCTCAGGTCTGAGGAGGTATTTTAGTGCCTTACTGGTGGACTGGGAAGAGCAGTTGGTTCAGGACAACAAGAAATGTACTGCTTTTACACTTGTGGTCTGTTTGTTGTGTTTGTAGTAGTATTGCAAGCCTGCAGTTGCAGGCTGCAAGAAAGGATGGATCATATGTGTGACAGCTACTTGTGCATTGTCCAAGCCATCATCATCAGTAGAGGCATTACATATACCAAATAGATTTAAATTATATTCTGTTTGTTTTGCAGTACATGACTACTGACAGATTGGTGAGGAATTTGTCACATTTGTCACAAACCTGATGAATCCCAAACATTCTTCAGACTGTACATCCAGCTCTTGTTCTGTGCACTCAGCTATCATGTCGGGTAACCCTGCAAGATAATTGCTCTGAATTTTGTCCATCCACAAGGTCCTACGGGTGCTCTTTTGCATGCTTTTTCCAGTGACTGAACATTTTTGTGTCGGTGCTATTGACTGCTCTGCCTTAAAACCATGCATTTTGCTTCCCTTGTTAACTGAACAAGATTCACAGTCTTCTGTGTGAATCATCCAAGCGTCACTCTGCTGATAATTTTGTACACTTTAACTGAGATGTTGAACAAAGTTGTTTCTGCAATAAAGTCAAGCTATAATCACTGGGTGCAATAAGACATAATGTTCCCAAGGATTGGTCTTCATTTTATTTTCACCAATATTTTGGAAATGACATTTAATTTGGAGCCTTCTCATCTTAGCAGTTGAGCTGCATAAAATAATAATTTTTTCACTAGCCCAAAATGCAAAGATATTTGCAGATGACCTAAAAATGCAAGGTTTATATCTCAAATCATTAACTTTTTTTTTTTTTTTTGCTTCTTTCTTTTTTTGGTACTAGTGAAACTGTAATAGTTTACATTGAGCATTTTTCATTGATCTGAAGATGGTATTACTTTGTCATTAAACTGAGGTGAATTTATGAAGTGAGATTAACCTCAACTGAATGTTCACAAACGTTGGGTAACACAGGTTAAAACAAATAAAGTCTCTCATGAAGGGATAGTTGTTTTCTAAACACACAGGCCAGTGCTGACACCTTGTGGCTTTGTTTCTGACTTATTTCATAGCTCCATCTGGTTATGTTGGTTGTAAATAATGATTAACTTGAAGTTGCTGGCATTGTCTATCTCCTCTGCTGTGTGGCTGCCTCAGTGCCCAGTGTTTTGGTATTGCGTGTAAGACAGCTTGGAACTTTGGTCTGAGTTGACAGCGTATCGAGTGAATAAAGAGCTAGGGGTGTCTCTGACCTCTTGAACAGGACTTGAAAGGTGTCAGTTCAGAGCACAAAATCATGGCTGCTAGTGCAGAAGAAGACAGAAGTTATCAGTTTATCTTTTACCAATTAATACCTGATTTTATACTTCCCTCTACATAGGAAAGCACCAAAGACTGTCAGTACTTTTCACATGTACTTTTAGGTACCTACATATTTTCTCCACTGATGTAAAAGCGTTCATTTGCTGCCCTCTTCACCCCTGAAGAATACAGGAAAAATACAATCAAAGAGACTGTTATAGAATTTCTGGCAGTATAAAGACCTGAGATGTGCTACTTATCTTTGACTGTAAAAATGCCTAAATCAAATGTATCAGTGCAAGTTATACCTAAATGGGCATCTAATATAAAATCTCTTATTATTTCAAATCTTAAACAAAACCAGCTGTTAAGCTGCTATTTGAAATCTGCTGTGGAATTAAGCTTTAGAGGCTGAGGTGTGTCTTGTGAAGTTCACACATCCTCCCTCAGCTGTCAAAGAGATTCAGAGATTGTTTTCTGATGTTTATGGGTCATGTCCCTGTTCTTAAGTGATCCTGTTGTGGTGATACATGAATTAGAAATCTTCATTTTATTGCATTGTTGATTTTTTTCTCTTTCTAATATATTTAGTTGTTTGTAATGGATGGTGAAAAATATATTTATGGATAGGTATTAAACAGTAGGGACCAGATCCTTGGCTTATGTAAATCAATATTTATAGCTTCACTTAAAACAAGGAGATGATATAAATTTCTGTTTCTGCAGAATATGACTGAGTCTGTTAAGAAAAATTAAGAAACTAGTAAGGATATACCTATGAAGATTTGATTTGCTGGCATCTCCGTTTAGCTAACAGGATTAGAGCTCTCCACTCTCCCCTTGTGTAAATCTTAATTGACACTTGCTAATTGAACTTTAATGCAATAAAGCTACTGTAATTAGCCATTAGAGCTTGGCTTCTGAACCAAAGAGAAAAGTTCAGGTAATAATGCATTCTTGTTACCTACTTCAGCACCCTGCCAGGAGGCAGATCTATCTGATCAAAGAGCTGTGAGTGACAGTATCAGTTTAAGGTTCAATAAAAGCTTCTCATATGGACAACTGCTTGTAATCATCTCATTACCATCAGGATCAAACAAAGTGCCTGTAGGTTTATAAGTGCTTTCATGGCATGAAATTAAAGTACTTTGTTGAACCTACACGTGATCTATTCAGCAAAGGGAAAACAAGGAGCTCAGGGGAACCTTTGCAAGTGTGAACTTCTGTGTAACTGGCAGGAAAGGCTTTGCATGGACAAGTCAGGACTGCAAAACCTGCTTGGGCCCACCTCTACCTACAGCTTCAGGATTGCAGCACCGTCACAGGAAGTGTGTGGAAAACCACTACCTTTCATCCTTGGTATTATGATAGGGATAGGTCTTATCCAGCCATTGTCTTGGTATTCCTCTGCATTTAAAAGCTAGGTATGAATAGAGGTGTTCCCACTTTACAAGTTAGACAGTTGTGCTCAGGATAATTTTAGCTTTTTAACATCTCCATCATGCAAGAAACGCTCCACTAAAGTCATAGTGAACTCCAATCTAGTGTGAAGTTACATAAGGTTAAATGTGCATGTAAATTCAAAATAATACAGGAATTTTATTATTTTCTTTTTTTTTTATATTTGTACACTTTTTATATGTTTAGTGGTATGTCACCTCTTTATTAAGATGTACACGATATCCTCTATCTCCTTGAAAGTAAAGATCACTCTGAGAGTTTTATGGCAGCATTACCAATAGCTTTAGTACCTGCTGAGGGGTAGTCTTAAGCCATGGGAGGAAAACTGTTTGGGAAGCACAGTGCCAGCGCTGAGCTAGTTCAAATGTTGATTTCCACCCTTGCAACACTCACTCAGACCAAGTGTATTTATTACAGATGCATTTAGACCACCTATAAAACGTTAGCAGCTGCCTTCATGCCTGGACTCAGGCGCCTGGTGTGTGCCAGCTGAAGGAAATTAGCTCCTCTCTAGATTATTTGCAAATAGAATTTGATGCTACGCAGTGTCATAAACATCAGGTCCAAAAAACCAGATGGAGCAACTACTTCTTCAGTGGGCCTGACTGCCAGTAAAAGAGCAGATGCTTCCTCGTTAAGTAATTTGTTGCCAGGACGTGTTCAGACAAGACAAAATCCTTCAGCTGGCCTAACCAGTCTTGCTCTCCACCACGCAATGACACTTCAAATCCCCGAGTTTGTTCCGTTCCCCGACACTAGAGCAGCAGTAGTGAGCGGAGTATTCACGGCAGCAGGACGGAGCTGCACTTCTGGGATGCCGCAAGCTGCGGGGCTCTTCCATGCCGCAGCCTTTGGCCGCCTTCTTCAGCGCACGCCATGACGGCGCTGGGCAGCCTCGGNCGCCCTCCTCCTGCCCATCTGCTTCGCCGACTACGGCGTGGAGGCGCTGGGCGAGCAGGTGCTGCGACGGCGGCGGCTCCTGCTGCTGCTGGGCGCCGGGGGGCCGCTGCTCTACGGGCTCTACTGCCTGGGCAGCTCCCTGGGCGTGCAGGTGCTGCTGGCACAGGCCGCCCGCATCATCTGCCAGGGGCTCGACTACTTCAGCAGCCAGTGGGTGAGTGAGTGAGTGAGTGAGTGTGTGAGTGAGTGAGTGAGTGAGTGTCGGTGTTCCGCGGCCGCGCTTTAGGCATGCCCCGCTTCTGGAGATGCTGTTAAGTCAGAGGTGATTCAGACGAGTTCTTGGGCAAACACCCAGGCTTGTTGAGGACTAAGGTGTGTATTAAAGTGTTGTGAAATAGCAGCACTCCACAAGTGACCCGGGGTGAGGGAAAGCACCTTAAGGCTTTTTTATCAGTGTACTGTAGGATTTTCTTTTTCTTTACAGAGTATCAAACAGTACAAACGCAATTTGAACGTTAACAAGTAAAGCTGTTTCACTTACAGATGTTACTGGTGGTAACAATCCTGGGAAACTACTTTTCCCTGTATTCCGTTCAGTAGGTAGGATAGTTAGAACTTCTGGCAGAATTCTTCTACACTTCATTAGTTATAACAACTGAAAATACAGTAAGTACTACTTATCAGAAGCAAGTGGATGTGTGAAAGATCAGAAGATCAGTAAGTTATACTCTTGTTAAATACTGATTTACAACTAGCATACTCAGATTTCTTATTGTCAAAGACTTTTCAAAAGCTGCTCTATTTCTTAAACAAACAAAGTCTGCCCTTTCCCTGGGTAACAGTGTTCCTGAATGGCAGAGGATATTTTGACAGACTATCTCTAGTGTGAATAGAATGGACAGGAGAATGTGTTTAGCCTCTTGAAAGTAAACACTGGAGGAAAAGATTTTCTTGACTATATTTGGTGCTGGAAGATGTCAGAGGACATGTGTTTCTGGTCCGTTTTGTCCTCAGAAGTATAATTAGGACTGCGTAGACAGAGATGCATTCTCTCTTTATAAAGAGGCAAGATACTACCATGTTTACTTTCAGCTGAGTAGTAGGAGAACTAAAGCACGGCCTGGTACTAGTGTGGAGCTTTGACTTGTTGCCACATAATTTGCTTGGTAAGCTTAAGATTTTTTTTAAGAACTTTGCACTGACCTCTTTGTTTTATTTTTAATAAATCTATAATATTGCTGCACTAACTGACTTGGCTAAGTCAGGCTTTTATTAAAAGTTTGTTTATTAAGCAATACTTAATACTGTGTAAATATAAGGGTACTGAAGGAAGCTGCACTTATTTAAACTTATAACTATGGCTGTAATGCACTGCTGGATGTCTGTGCCTGCTCAGTGCAACCTTGTTTAGCAGTCTCTGATCCTTCTGGTTAGCACTGGTGTTTCTGATTTAACACTTGTGTTTGTTGAACTGTGGTAGGATTTTAACTGCACAAAAGATAGTAAGCTCCCAGAACTCTTCAGACTTGAGTTTCTTGGGAAGATTTTGGGTTTGCGTCAAGGTAACTGATCACAGATCTCTTTAAGCAAACCAGATGCTTTCTAAGCAAGCTGTCTGTGTCTATTTGTGGGGCTTTTTAGGAGGAAAAAATTGTGGGCTTTCCTTTGTGAATTACTGCAACTTGGTATGGCATCATCTGTACACTTTGCGGTGTTTTCTTAGTCCAGTTTTTGAATTTTGCAGTTGCTTGGTGTGTATTATCTCAGATCTATAGAAGGATAATTTAATTTTATCCATGCTGCTGAGGAGCCCTGAGCTGGATCAGTTAATAATGTCAGTTTTAACTTCAGTTAAGCACTTTAAAGCCCTTTAATTGCCGTGTTATATTGTGGGACTCTATTTGCATGCTTATGTTCTGCTTGTTAGCTGCACAGGGATTTGGGATATTATGAGTTGGTTTCTCCATTGTACTGTTCTCTGGGCTCTGAATGCTCCATAGTTCCTTCTGTGTGCATGATTGTCTTCTCCTGCTCTGATTCCCTCTCCTGTACTAGAGAAGTGAGTGGATACCTATTGTTAAAATTATAGGGATTTGGAATACTGATTTATTATTCTGTAACTAATGGTATTTTTATGGCATCTACTACTAATACTGAGACAGAAATTCTCCTCTTAAGTTCTGGAAAAAACAAAGTTCTTCAAATGCAGTAATTGTGTGTGACAGTGACGTGGTAAGGTGTACCTTGGCACCAGTATGTTAAAGAGCTTTCCTGTCCAACTGTCCTCAAATCTGGCAAAACCATTCATGGCGTTGATGAGCCAAGATTCAGAAGTGCCTGTATTCCCGTCTGTGGTTCTTAAATCACACCTGCAGTTCAGGAATTTGAGTACCTCCATGTTTGGATTGATAGCTGATTGCAAAATGCCGCATTTGAAGAACAAGTTCAGGATCTTAGGCTGGTCTACAAGCATCATGTTCCCATGGTTTCCTTTCCCTTCAGGCTTTATAATCTTTGAAGAAGCTAGCTTAAGAAATGCAGTTGGCTGTTGGGCCTTAAATTAGAGGATAGTTAAAAATTTCAGATTATTTCCTTGTTCTGGCTTCAGACTTCTCTTGGTTATTTGCAGAATTCTCATGTAGAGGGCCCTGCACAAGCAGCATTTCATATTATAGGGAAGGGGAATGTTTTTCTCTATAGTTTTTTTCTTGGAAAGGATGGGAGTTTGTCCCAGTGGACTGAATACAGTCCTACACGCTTTTGGGCTGCAGCAATTTCACTGGTTTTGCAGGAGCTACACCTATGACCAGCGCTCTATCTAAAAACCAATTTCTTTTGCTTTGAAGAGGCAAAAGGCTAATATATATCCAATGCCAGCTATTCATTATGTTTTCTTCTTTTTTTAGAAGAAGAATTTACATGTTCACATTTATTTGGAAAATGGGTTGTTTGTAGATACCAGCAGATGCAAAGAATTACACAGCTGCTCTATTTTGGCTCTGAGGTTCATTTTAGTAAATCAAATTTGATGCAGAATTTTCTGTAGTGAACTTGATTACAGGGCTGTTGAAATCTTTCTCTCTGACCAGTCCTTCTTCTTTGATTTGTCGCAGGTTATTTGTCAGGCTCACAACTGTGTAGTCACATGTGTGTGTCAGTGTATTTTTTTTGTCTCTGACTGTAGTAGGTATAACTAGGTATAATGAGGTATAGGGTGCTGTTCTGGGGATTTCCAAGCAGTTAGAGCACTTAATCAATCTTATTCTCACCCAGGTGCTGGGCGGATCTGGAAACACCATTGCCCACCATTGCCATGACTGCTGTATTGGAATATTGTCTGAGTACATGTTACCTATTTTTTCTGGTGTACTGTCTGCTTCCCATCAGGGATTCTGTGAAAGACATCCACCAGGGAAACCTTTGTTTGTGTTGGCACTAAATGTCAGCAGTGCCCAAGCAGCCCTTGTAGATTTTCCAAGCAAGCATCCTTCCTGGCAAACAATTTGGATCCCATGCTCTGAGATATTTGGCTTCCACAGTCCTATTGAATATCACCTGTGGGGGAAAAAAAGCATCTATGTTTTATCAAGTTCACATGATGGGGCAGTTGCTCTTCTAGTGAAGGAAAGGACACAGTTCTGATTTTTAATGTGCATACAATTTCTTTTTCTTTGAGGGTTTAGGGTAGGTGGGCTTTATTTTTCTTCCCTTTCTTAGAGCAGGCTTGCAGGTTTCTAAAACTTGCCCACCATAAAAACCCCCCAAAACCAAAACAAACATTTGAACAAGCTCTTAAGTATTCTTTCTGCTGTTTATAATCCTTTATCATTATGATATCCTGGGGTATAAATCATAAGCCAAGTACTGACTGTAAACACATCTTACCAAAACCACAGCTTTTGGTTTGTTTTCACAACTTTGCTTGGGTAGAGATAAACTACCCAACTACTGTATAGAGACTGCATGTGGCCTGTTTGAAAACAAGATGAGGAGAGGCAGGGGAAGTCTGGGATTTTGATAGTGTTTTCTTTTTTACTGTTTTTCACTTCCACACCCAGCCTCAGTTTTGGAAGAGACTACAGTGAGATTGCTCTCTTGGAGAGGCTGAGGAGCTTGTTCTGTTTTATATGCAGGAACTACAGCCTCAAAGCTGGCACTAACCTAAAGCCTAATGATATGTGCTACATAATATTAGTTATTCTTTTGTATTTATATGTATTGGTTGAACACAATGATGTTTCGTTTTCCATCACCTCTGAAAGGAATGAACATTACGGAACTGTCCAGCAAAATTTTAACTCTGCTCTATATAAAGAAGAAGTTGAAGAAATTGTGTGTGTTGAGGAGCCATCTCTTGCAAAAGTGTTACCTTGAAATATGTCAGAGGACTGGTGCTCTGTCTGCAGAGCATATATATATGTATGCATATATATGCATATACAGCATACCATATGCCTGAGAAGGCACATGAATTTGATGTGCTCTGGGAAACATCATCTTGCAAGCGAATCTTGATAAATTTGATTTCTGAATAGCATTTTTATTACAAGTTTCTCATGAGTAGCTTTTGTATTAAGACAGGAAAAGTGAGCTAAAGGGGAAATACTTTCAACATCTATTGGTGCAGTCTTCTAGATATCTTAGATTTAATGTTTATTTTTCTTGAATTCAGTGTAGGAAATGTTGCAGGATACATTGACAGTCATTTTTAGCCCATGTGTGGCAGTGTTGATTTTGAGGGTCAGTTTCCCCCTGCCCCAGGGTTCTAGTTATAAGTTCATACTTTGATCCCTTTACAAAGGGGTGATCTCACTAAACACCATGTTTCAGTTTCATCTGTTTTAGTAGTCTGTGTGTTTTAATGCCTGAAATACCAATGTCACATTTGGGGGTTCTAGAAGAAACAGAATGGGCACACTGTTCTAGTCCTTTGGACAAGGAATAACTTACTTGTGTCCACTTTGAACCTGCTTTAGGTAAATGACAGCTTCCTAAGTAAAGGAAGGAGGGGGTTGTCTTTGCCTTGTGGTGAAAAGTAAGTCCTACATGCGTGATTAGTTGGAGTTTGGGTATTTTCTTACATATTGGATAAAGGCTGTCTCCATGCTAGGACAGGCAGTTACACACTCTTATTCTGCCAGACTCTGCACATTATGGGATGTTTCCTCCTGTGTGCTAATGAAAATGCACTTAAGCTACATTAAATTAATTTTGGTTCTGGAAACTGGAGTCAAAATGACATTTTCATAGTTTGTCACCTGCCTCATTATATTTGATATTGTTTAGAAAACTATTTTCAAATGAACAGGGAGATAGAGAAAACACTGTGATCTTTTTCAAAGGAAAACGGCTTTTAGCAGTGCATTTAATGTCTTTTCTGGCTTCATTTTTCAAGTCCAACACTCTTCTGCTCAGCTTTTGTGGTAGGTTCATTATCCTTTGTCAGCCTACATCACCACTGAGGAGGGTGATGTAGAAAACTGGTGTCATAAGATCACCTCTTTAAACCATCTTTACTCTGCAGCACTGTTTTAAAAGTTTACAAAAATGCTGTGTTAATGCTTGGTCAATGTTTATACTGATTTTTTTTATTTTGAGAAAAACTAATGAAAATCTCTATTTCCAAATGAAAATTTTGTTTTAAAATATTAAAGGTAAAGGGAACTGATGAGGTAGTTTGGCCTTTTTTTTTTGTTCAAAACACTGAGACTGGAAAATAGAAAGCAATTGGAATTAGATCTGTAGTTCCATCAAACAGTTTTAAATTTAAAGTTCAGTTAAAATCCCTCAAACAAACCAAAACATAAACCAAATTCTGAAAAACTATCAGGGAAGGAGCAGCCAGGGGAAAAACATAATTTCAAAATGGCCAGGTGAGAGGCTAGAGCTGCAATTGGAAGAGGAAGGAGTTCAGACACTCAGTTTTGTAGGTGCTGACTTGTTAAAAACTGAAAAAATTTGGCAGGTTGGCATGGCATGTATTAAAAGAAGTAACTGCTGGTTTATCTTCTCAGTCTTTGCTGTTGTGTTTATTTGTGGGGTGGTTCATAGAATCATAGCATATCCTGAGTTGGAAGGGAGTGAGAAGGATCACTGAAGTCCCACTCCTGACCCTGCACAGGATCACCCCAAAAATCACACCATACGCCTGAGAAGGCACATGAAGCAGGTGGGAAATGTATTTGCTGCTGGATGTTGAGTAGTTGGGGCAACATTCCAAGGAAGACTAAATCATTCCAACAGCTTTGCTATCTTCTGCAGTAGGAAGCTCTTCTTGCTTATTCCACTTCTGATGTATGCTTCTTTTGCTCTGTTGTTTGTGCTTGCCATATTTCTGTGAGCCTGTTTTGCTACTGAATTGCATGTAGTTTTTTTATGAGCTTAGGGAGCTTGAGCTGGCTGGATGAACATTGAAACTGTTGTGCAGAAGAGGTGGGACTGCCCAGCAAGCAGTAGGAGACAATGAATTGCCACTTTTAGTAGTAGTGAATTACGGAATGTACTCATCTGCAAAACCTTCTCCACAGAGATAGGAGACTTCCACTTGTTGATAGGAAAAAAAGGAGGGAACCGTGTAAATAAAGATTTTACTCTCTAACATAAATCAGTATAAGTGTTTGTCAAAAGCTGAGTAGTCAGTTTGTTCTTGAGAAATGAGGCCAAAGCCAAAAGAGTGGCTCAGATTTTCAAATCCTTCAACTTTAACAGGAAGGGGAAACAAACTTTCAGTAATGTTGATGGTAGTTCATGCTGATAAATCCTTGACTTTCCAGCACTGAAATTTCAAAGAAAAATCACTAAAGCAGATGCTTGAGTTTAACATAAAAGCTGCATCTTTCTATGGTGTAATTTTGTCTCCAGTTGGCAGTTTAAAGAAAACTGAAGCCCTTCATAGTTGCCTTAGACACCTCTAAATCTGCCTCTTAAATTTTATCACTTTAATATAGCAATGAATGCTAAAATCCCAAGAAGTTACTCTATGGTCTAAGCATTATTTATTCAGAAAAGTGGGCAGTTTTACATGTCTAAGGGCAAAGCAACATGCTGTTCAGTTTGTGAGAGATGCTACAAAATGCAGAGAAGTTGTGAAAAATGAGGTCATTTCTGTCTCTTAAGACAGCAAAGGCAGGGGAAGAAAGAAAGTTTTCAGGATTAAACTATCCCAAAGTTGTTACATATGGAAGTTGTGCATGTCTGTGAATAATAATTGTGATTGAGTAGTGATTTAAAATCTCAGAGTACATGGTGAAAGTTAGGCATCTGCAGCTGATTTCATCTTGATAAATAGTTGATGATAGCTAATGCATTCTGCAAAATCTGAAGTGTATGTATTAGTTACCTGGTTAACTGTACACTCTTATAAATCAATAATTTTGGCTTAGCATGGAATCTTATCAATCACAGTTTCAGTGCAATAATTGCAATAGCTTAATTTTAGTGAAAGTAGACAGTCTTTCATTCTTTTTTTCAATTATGTCAGTTCTTGAGAATGACATACAATAGTAGAGAGGCTGTTAATATTCTCTAAGATTTTCAAGCCAAAATCTTTGGATACCATCCAGAAAAACAATGGGAAGGATTATGTAACATGCTTTTAAAGGGTTAAGGAAAAAAAAAAAGTATGCTGTTGCCAAGTTGGTATGGGATGAAATCCTAGTCCATGTCAATTTAAGTTAATTTGCTTTGTCAGTTGCTTTCAGCTATGAATTGTTGGAAGTAGGCTACCCTAGTTCCTGTGCACTGGTTCTTGCAGTGTAGGGATGTGCTTGGCCATAACATTAACCAATAAAGACCTGATTATTCCATGGTGTCACTGAAATTAAACAGATTTCCTCAGTCAGTTTACTACACAGTTCTTTTTACAGGGCCTCAGGAAGGTTATTGTTTATCTCTGAAACAGAGTGACTGCTTTACTTAAAAGTAAGCTATTTCTCTCTATTCAGTAGAAATAAATACTTTTACTTGGGTCATTTGCTAAGCTTTTAGAAGAGGGAACTGATTAATTATTTTAACTTCAAACACAAAAAATTATTAAATATCTGAACCCCGTAAGGTTTAGTTACATGCATGGCTAAAAGCGGTGCAGTGTGTTTTGCTTTGTTGGTTGTTAAACATAGGCTTATACCCTGTTAGCCTCCTACTTTTGGCTTGTGTTTAAACAGAAAGCTTAAGTTACTGAATGTACTGAGTCTCCTGTTTGTAGTTTATCATTAAATTTAAAAGCTAAAGGGAAAATTGGCTTGGAACAGGAACATTCATCATACAAAGATGCTGTGCAGCTGATGTTAGGGAGTAGGATAGTATCTTTGTGATGAGTTACCTCTTGCAATTAGAGCTGTGTTGTAAAGTGCCTTATAAGTGAATTTATGTTTCAAACCTATGCTGTTAAAGGAGTGCTACTGTGCATTTCTGGTAAAAAAATTTGTTTGTTTGTAACTTTAGTCTTGGTGTCCATGGCTTATGTTAGTTTTAGACATTTATTTTGAGTCCACACTTGGCCATAAGCATTATGGAATTCTGTTGATACAGAACTGGAGATAAGTGAAAAGTTGGAACAATCTGCTTAGATGAGAAGTATTAGTGTGTAAAGGGTAGGTATACCTTTTTTCATGTATCATAAGTGATTTTAAATTACCTTGCAGATGCGATCATTCCCTCTGAAGTTATCAGGAACCATCACTCAACTGCTTTTCTGCTCAATTCAGTACAGCTAAGATTTCCTCTCCAGCAATTAGATACGTGGCAGTAGTCACACAAGCCTGCTTTTCACAAGGACTGTTACGTTTTCAGCGTGCATTGTATAGTGCAGAGTAGAGGTGAAAACTCTTCTGGTGTGTTTTGCCTAATTACTTGTTTCGTGTCTCTCTGTGCATTCTTTCTTCTTACAGCGATGTCTGATTCAGCAAATGCTCTTAATAGAAATTCTGTTCAAACTTCATTTGGATTTATGGATTTAGAAGTGTAAATTTGAAGGTGTACTTCAAATGGTGATGGATAGGGAATGTTCATTGAATTTGAGCCAGAAATACCTTTAGTTACTTAAGAATGAAACACTAGGTTTTAATCTTTACAGGTTTTCATACTTCTTTTATTTCACATTCTCTCCTGAGTAGCAACTTTTCACCTCCTGTTACCTCTTCTGTTTCTGCTTCCTTCTTCTTTCTTTTTAGTATTTTCAAGTTGAAATTCACCATCTCAAGGTTCTTAACTGCAAATCTGTATTGTGATTTATCTGATGAGTAGAGTAGTAGAAGGCAGTTAGAAGCAGCAAACCCAAACTGACACTGATGTCTTGCCGTCCTTCCTCTTTTTAGTTCAAAAAATGAAAAAAATATGTGTCACACATCTTATAAAGGCATGCGTTTTGTGAACCAACACCACGGAGAAAGAGCAGTTTTTGTTGTGTTTCCTGATGACTTCTTTGGCTTAAGCTCCCTTTTGTCTCTTTGGACTGAAACACCGGAGCTGGCAGACTGTTCTGTGCAGGAATGAGTGCAGCTGTACTGGCCAGCTCCGTCTCCCTGTGGCCATACAGGTGCTGTTGATGAACTCATATAATTAATTGAAACGTGAGCTTCTTAAAGACTTACAAGCTGACTTCAGTTCTCTGTCTATGGCAGTTACGGGTGTGTGCGTGAGTGTACACACATACATGAGTACAGTAGAGCTCTCTTTTGATGTATTGTGTATCTTTTTCTTAAAGATATGGACACTGGTAGTTGGTTACTTGCTGATGGTTTCATTCAAGTGGAATATAAGCACTGAACGTTACTTAAAAGCTGTGTCTGTTCCTGTCTGGATTATGCTGCTCTTTCATTTAGGTGAGTAACAAGAAGTTACTATTCTGATAACTGAGGGCTCTGTCAACAGTGGTCCCTGCTTGCTCTTCTGCTATATCTGTGAAATAGAGTCTTAGCTGAAATGCAAACTGTTTTGTCTGTTCAGTAATCCTGGCTGCATCTGTCCAGAAGGGAGCATTGAAGTAGAGAATGGGAAGGCATCAAGATGCTGAGCAACACCTTCCACTCCTCATGCCTAATTTGTACTTCTCATGATTTTCCCTTATTTAGTTTGCAGACGAGGTACTTCTTGACAATGAGGAAGGGCTGGGGTCACATGAGGCTGTCTTTAGACTTTAATTTATGATATTTTATTGACAGCCTGCCATTAACCAAGTCAGACATACTATTAAATTCAAAATGCATTTAATAGTAGTTACAGAAGCAAAAAAAAAATAAATTCTATCAGTAGTCAACAAACATATCATAATGATATCAGCAGTATAAAATACATTTGCCAGTAATCTATGTAATCTGTTTATACAAATGTAAGATTATAGTTATCTTCTAGACTTAGGTTGCACATTTAATATAATAGATTATCATAAGACTACCATGATATAAGGTTTCACAGTGTACCTCATGATTTACTTTAGCAGCAGGTTTCAAGAGTTGTTCTGACCATGTGGGGATGCTTCCCTGAGGTTTAAGCTACATTAGTGGCTTTGCATTTGCTTAAATTTTGAGTCTTGTATTTACTGGAAGTACAGGCTGAATAGGGAAAATCCAAGAAATATCCCTTTCAGTGGAGACCTAACATAAATACGCACTTTTGGGGGGAGCTTGACTTTTCTCTGATATCGAAAATGCTTTAATTTTGTGTGTATTTTCATGTGATTTTGAATGTTTTCAAAATGGTTCTCTAAATCAATATACTGTCACTGAAATTTGAAGAGTAACAATTTGGTTTGTTCATTGAGAAACTTGTTCATGTTTGTTTCCTGTTTTCCCTTTTCTTTAATGCAGAAAGCCTGTTTATGACTTCTTTGTTTTTTGGTTGATGTGCTGCCTTTCTTGGTTTTGCTAAATGTAGTGTTTATTAATAGTGTAATTTTTCTTGTAAAAAAATCCCAATACTGTATCTTTCAGCTTCTGTGGCAGGTTCCTGGAGAATTCCTGTATTTCTGGTTATAGTTGTTCTGATGACAGTAGGCATGTTGCATGAACAGCAGAATGGAAAGGAGTCTTCTGGTAAGGAGAAGTCACCATTTCTTTTATTGTTGGAGGCAAAAAATCACTTAAGTCATGTGAAATAATCTGGACTGTATCCCCGTAAATTCAGTAGCATATGGATTGCAAGAATTTACTATAGGATGTTTAGTGTGTTGTAATGTGGTTTAATCATGCTGAAGTGAAGCTTGGATTCTTTATGGAAGATTACTGAAGTGGACTGATGCTTCTTTTCCAGGGTAAAGTAGCATCTCATTATTAAGCCAAATTCCTTGAGTTCATAGATTTCAATATGTAGTTCCAAGCATGAGGGTTGCCAATGCCATTTGAAATCAGAGGCTAATTTAGAAAGAAATGAGCAATGTGGGTTTAGTAGATCCTGTTGTACTGGGTTTGAGAGAAACCAAGACAATTCCTTCCAGCAAGTTTCCAATATCCAGTCATTTGTTTTTAAAACAGTTTCTTAAAAGTATGTTTTGTGTTTAGATTTTGAGAAGAATAATTTTTTCCTGTTGCAAGTGAGTTTTGAAAAAATGCAAAGACATTCTATATTCCTGATGAAGGAAACATTTTTCCTGCGTGGCTGTTTTAGTTGGTTAGTAAGGTTGATTAATTGGTATAAATTTTTTTTTAATAATCAGACTGCCAGCAACTGTGAATGTGTTGGTTGGTAGCAATTCATTATCAAGAAAAGCACTAAGCAAATAACTGGTTTTGAGTTTTGGCTGCAAGTGTATTGTAATACTAAAATTAATAGCACTCATTCCTGTTTGGTCATATTGACTACATATAATACATACTAAACACTAACGGTGTCTATCCATATAAATTCTGTTGCCTGACAGCTCCAGTGGATATCTAATATCAAATAAAACATTTTGAGACTTAAGCTTTTTGTTACATACTTACACATATATATTTTACAGGTGCAGAGCTTCCTGGTCAGATGATTTCCATTGCTGCTTCAACAATTGCCATGGCAATTTCAATGACAGAAGATGAGTCCAATAATGAACATTCCTCCCAACCCTCAGGTGACTGAATACTCTGTAAGAAACATTTGAATTTGCTCTAAAGGCATGAAACTGGAGGAAATTCAGAAAAAAATTCAGAATAGTCCGTAACCTCTTAATTTTGTCCAAAATTGTGTCCAAATTGTGAATTGGGTTTATCTATTTTAAAAAAAAATGTTGAGAAGATGCAAGTATAAAAGCTGTTTAGCAAAGGGTAGTTTATGTGGCTGTTGAAGGCCTGATAAGAAGGATTTATTATTGTTTTGTGGTTTTTTTTAGAATGAAGGTATAGTTTTTTCCCTGTTCTTCATTGATAATTATTGTAATTTTCCTAGCCTTTTGATTTGTTGGCAGTTATATGTTCCATAGCTGGATTTCAGGACCAGATGCAGACAGACTGCAGGAATTTTTCTGTAAATTGCAGCGAGAAAAAACCCCACCACTTTAAATATGGCATGCTCAAAGTCCTTCCTATAGTGAGTTTACTTGAGTCACATGATACTTTCACTTGGAATAACAGAATTGGCTTAAAAGAGTTCAGATAAAGTGTTTCGACATCCATCACTGATTTTGAACTTTACCATCTTCTTTTTTTTGGGTAGGTCTTTGATGAAATGCGATACTAGAAAATTAAGCTATTACTGAGATCTCTGGAAATTTTAAAGTTTCATCTGTAAACCAAACAGATCATTCAACCTGACAGAATGTGAACTTCCAAAATGTAGTTTTTAAATCTAAAAACAGCAGCTTTAAACAACATACTCTTATCTTTTTTTATACATTTTACATGGCTATCATCAATACAAACATAGAAGCCTAGGGAATTAGGTCCTGAAATTTGAGATCAGAACATTATGGTGACAGTTCTCCTGTATTTCTGTGTCTAATCTTTAATTTTGGAAATGAGAAATACTTTTTTTTTAGCTGCATTTTGAAGTCTGGAAAGGTAACAGGTGCTCAAAAATGGGCTATGTAAGTGGTTGTGTTCTTTTGTTGCTATTTTTTTAACTTACCAGTTCTTAGTTTTTCACTTCTTTAAGACAGTTTTCTTTCTGTTTTCAATAAGTTTCTGTTTTCAGTTTTTCAAAGGTGTAATATATATCTTTCATGGGTTTTTTTGACTTCTCTTGAAACAGCTAACCAGATAAGGGGTTTTTTTTGTCTTGTGAATTCAGTTGTTTACCTTCACAGCAGAAAGAAAAAAAAAAATGAAAGTTTTCTTTTAACTCCTATCAACAGTTAAAATAATTTTCCAACAATCAGGTAAAAATTAGTATTCTGTTCTGTGGTATGTTAAGCATAATTTTGGCCATCTTTGGTTTGGATCTTTGGTGAATGATGTTGAAACATTCTTATACAGCAAAAAGTTTTACTCACAGGCTTAAGAACTTACAGCTTTTCTGGTTTTCCTGACACTATACTAAATCCATTACAGAGCAACCAGGCTTAAAATTGTTTATTAAAAGACCATGAGGGGGATATGAGCTTTGTTGATTTTATATTGTTTTTGAACACTCATGTTTTTCCACATTTTATTGTTGAATACTGGTATTTAGTACTGGGAGTGGGAAGTTTAATGATACCAGTTCTTGTGGTCTCAAGTGGTCCTTCCTTGTCTTTCAGGAGTCTCCAGTGTGTACAGCAAATTAAAAATCTGCAATTTCTGAAGCAGATACCACTGCAGATCTTTGTAGACAAGATTCTGTTGTCTTGTTAGCTTTAAATATGATAGATACTAAAATCCTTAAATGAAGTCATGACACTCAGGTTCTCTTTTGCCCTCACTTCTTTGTTTTATTAGAAAAAAGCATAAGAAATATTTTTCACATGAAATTACAGAAGGATGTGGTTCTTCATGAAGGGGTACCTTCTCGTTGTGTTCTGAGGACTTCTGCATTAATAGTAATAAAATGAATGTTTTCCTAACTTATTCCCTTTATAGAGCTACAGACACCTGCCTTTCTGTTTGTGTTGCTGTTTCTTTGTCTTCTCTCTGGGGAGGAGAATAATTCAAAATTCTGTGACAACAAGAAATTGATGTGACAGAGAACATACTGTGTAATGAAAAGAACAGGTCTTAATAAGAGCCTGGAAAATTTGCTTTTTTGTTGTTGTTGTTCAAAGAAGTACCATTCATTCTGGTTTTGCTAGATTTTTTTTCTGAGTATTGTGCTATCTGTTTAGACTATACCTTCATTAGTTGGAAGATAGAAAGGTGTTTTTCATGCTCTCAAAATATCATGAAGCCCACTAATTGGGATTTTACAGAAACTGAAGTTACTCAAAGTCACTGTACTGACAGTTCTTTTTTTCTGTTTGTGTTGACGAGGCGCTCACGCCTTGGTTTGCAGAGCAGATCTTGCCGGCAGAAGGTGACTCTTCATTTGCAATTTTGGTTCTTTTCTGGGTGGATCATCTTTGTGAGATGTTTTATGAGAGTCATCTAAATGGCAGTTCTGGTGCAGGCCTGTGTTTGTCATGAGGAGAATACTGGGTAGGGACAATTTAATTTTGTTCAAAGTGCAGGAGAGCTGCATTCTGAAAAAGCTGTGTTGCCTCGGGATCCCCTATAAGGTTTTCTTTTTTTTTTTTCATTTCCCCCCCTTTATATACTTTTTTTCTTCCTTTTTTCCATTTCTTTTTTCCTTTTGGTTTTTCCTTTTTTTCCCCCTTTTTTTCCTTTTTTACCCACTTATCTCTGTCCCTATCTGTTTTGTGTTCTATGTACGGTCTGCTTACAGGGAAACTAAGAAATCAGGCTGTTTCATTGTTACTGCTTTTAACATTACTGTTGCTGTTACTTAATTATATCTTTCTTCATTGCAAAAATCTTTCAGTCAAATTTTTTGTTAGTTAAAGAAGAAATGTTCTTTTTTATTTCCTAGAGTTGACTCTACTATGGAGCTTTTGGGCAAAATATATTGTATAACTTTAATCTTAGGCATAGACTTCAGCTAATCATTCTGTTTTGGCTTTTAGTGCTTCCTTTTCTTTGATAAATTTTTTGCTTTTGTATTTTATATAACATTAGCATTCTTTGCTTTGCTCCAACATAAGAAGCAAAACAGCAAGAAGTGTTGAATAAATTGAAGGGGAATATTCTTTATTATGGTTTCAAATTTGTGTTCCTTTAGTGCATCCATTTGTTTCTGTTAGTACTCTTCTGCTTTATTACATATAGACCAAGAAGTACAGGGAAATCATAGGCCCTCTTCTATATGACAAAAATATTTTTGTCTTTTTAGGAAAATTTCTGTTTACAGGTAACTTTTTCTCTCCCCTTACAAAATACTGTTTGTAGTTTGTATAGTAGGGCTGGCCATCATCCCATGGAGATACACATTGATTTGCCAAGAGCCTCCCCCCCTGAAGCTTCTGCTGTGCTTAGCTGCTTGCAGAATTCCTTCTTTCAGGTTGCATGCCATAGTTCCTTTGTAAATATTCTGAACTTCCACCAAATACATAACAAGCAACAATCTGATGTTTCTGTCATCATCCCAGTGTCAATCCCAGCTGAATCGATCGATTTGCACTGTTGTCCTGGTGTGGTGGGAGAGGTGTTCCTAAGCTGTAATAGTAGTTCCACTTACCTCTAGAACACTGCAGATTTCTGCAGCAAAAGAGAAGTATTCATCTGCTGTGTGAGGATGCAGTTTGTCACTTACTGCTGCTGTATGACAAATGAGTCTTGCCTTTTTGAACATTTTAGCTGTCATGCTTAGGCTAGAAATGGCTTTTGCAACCCGCTGCAGCTAGAAACGTGTGTGGGGAACACAAGTTGTTTGATTGCTGTGCATGTAGGATGTTGTATATAGTACAGTTTTTATGCAGTTTTTCTTCATGGGAGAAGATGTGTCTGTGACACAAGTCCAGTGAAAGAGTTGTGTTCATCGTTTACCAGATGTGTGGTATGTACCAGCATATTAAATTGCCTTTTATGCTTCAGCATGGAGTAAATTTTCAGGTTTTCCTGTGTGTGCACTCCTCTACTATGGCTGCAGACTTTTCTTGAGTAGTGATGTGTGAGAAATGTGTGCATTTTGACAACAGTACAGAGCCTCAGTAAAAATTAGTGCTGGTATTCTCAGGGAGAGATTTTACATAGAGTAGCTGGAGACTGATTTGGTGTCATCCAGCAACTGAAAGATTAAATAAATAAATAAATTGCCATATTCTGCATCCAAGAATTTTAATTTGAATATAATATTTTTGCATGAAAATACCATTGTTTATGTATAGGGTCTCTAACACATCAGTTTACATTTTTGAATTTAATTTCTTGTTTGCTAACTTATGAGTGAGAGACTCACAAAATTTGTTATCCACTAATTGGTGCTTGATGTTACTAATTGTTACACAGAACAAGGAATTTAGGGTGACAGTGTGAATGCTGCTATGTTTGTGTTGTGAGTGATCTGGAAAAGTAGTAGTGAGACAGTTGTGAGATACAAGCTTTCTCTTCAATATATACTCTATATTTTTTGTTCTGTTTAAATGAGTTTTGAGAAAATCTAAGATTCTTTTTTGAGTGCTTGATATAAAGAGAAGTGGAAGATTTATTTTAAGACTTCAGATTTCTTTTAGAAGTTAGTTATATTTAGTGTTTTTCATGGTTTTATGCTTCTTTGATAAAACATATTTGGCTAGTAATTTACCTGCAGTGATGGGAGCCCTCTTGGAGGCTGTAGCAACTTTACATCTCGCCTCCTCTCAGCACTGCTTGGCACGGTGATGCAGGATGCGGGAGAGTTTACACAGCCTTGTTCTAGTTTTGAAAATGCAGATCAGTGCCAAGGCTGTCTCAGTCTTTTAGAGGAATTGAAATAAAAAAAACAACCCAAAACAAACAACAAAAACACAGCCTTCTGCTGCTATCCCTTCCTTCACCCCCACCTCCCCCCAAAAAAAAAAAAGGACATAATTTGGGAATAGAGAACGGATTCTATTTTGTAGTGAATATTAATGTGATAATTTCTACTTCTTTGTTTGCATGTGTTTGTTTTAGGAGCAACAGCAGAAGGTGATCAGCCTCGACCTCCACAAGCTTCATCATCTTTCAACTCCTCCTCTTCATCATCTTCTGGGAACAGACAAAGACCTGAGATTGGATCTTTTCTTAGAAAAAAGAAAACTAGTGATATTTACTTCGTTACTCTTGTGTGGGCGATTGTCATTGTTCAGATCTGGCTAAATTTTTGGATTGTGCAGCTATTGCCAGTGCCTTTTGCAGGTAATAATCTAGTTATTAGAAATGTGTGGCATCGTGTTAAATAAAATAGGAGGAAAGGCTTTTAGGCTTGTATGAGTTTTAAATAAAAACTTTTTCAGGACTTGTTAAGACAAGATGAACTACAGCTTAAAAAAGAAGAATTGATATGCACTGTCTATTACCACATAGTGGACAGCTCTGTTAAATTGCTTTGTCTATTGACTGTTGTAGTTACCTGAAATAATACAGTGCCTTACCTTACATAGTAAGAATACTTCTGGTTTAGACCAGTTAGTTTTTCTTCCTCCTGATGTCATTTCTCTCATATTTTTGCACCTATAAATGAAGAATATTTTAGCTGTTATTCAGCTGTAAAGTAGAGCTCATGTTAACTTTTAATTTCTGTAAAAAGTGGGTTGCTAGGCTCTGTGGACAAGTCACAAGATAAATTTGGTTCCAGTTTTAGCTCTGAGGTTAATTAGCTTTGTTGCTTCACATCTACATGCATCTCTTCTATATATCAGGTGCAAGAATTGGAGTAGTTATGATATCTATTGAAAGATACTATTTTAAAACTGGATGCCACTTTTTATTCTTTTGGGGGAGTGAAAAGGGATGATGGGAACTCTAGGAGTATGTGTGAACTACGATGAATTGGAAGGCATTCCTTCCCATTCCTCTACTGTAAAGAAAGTGAGTTTCCTAGTTTGCTTGGATTTTCTCTAAACTTCAGTTAAAATGCAACTTTTTAGCATTTTAGTATGGATCAATAGCTACTTGAATGTAGCTATTTTCTTTTTTTACTAAGTGTGGTGGGTTGGCCCCAGCTACTGGCCAGATACCCTTAGAACCAGTCATTCTCCCAGTGTTTTAATGTGGGCTTATCCATGAACTTCATTCCTTTTAGGGAAGTACGGGCTCAGGATTTTCCTTATCCCTAGGCCACAGTCCCTCAAGAGGTGTGTGTACCTGCTCCAGCATGGGTCCTCTGTAGGCCATGGTCGCTTGGAGTGGTGGTCCTACTCCACTGTGGAGCACTTCTGCTTCCCTGGCCTTTTCATTACCTCTCTTCATCCCTCTGTTCCTTTTTCTTCTCTAGTCACTTTTTCTGTGTTCCTTCCTCTTCTCCCTGCCCAGGGATTTCTGCCCTTCCTTAGAAAGATTTCCACTGAAGCACCACACCCCTGCCTGGTGGGCTCAGCTTTGCCCAGTGATGGATCTGTTGCAAAGCCACCTGGAACTGTGTCTGGCACAAGGCAACCCTTGGGGTCTCTTCCCATGGAGGCCCCCCCAGAGGCCACCCTGCTACCAAAACCCTGAGATCTGTGCACAGTACACAAAGCTACTGTAAACCATCTGGAATTTGTGACTTGGGGTCATCCTTGCAGATTTGAAGGGCTGTGAACTCTGAGGCACGGAAAAAAGAACAGCTGCACCTTTGGCTGTGGCACTGTGGCAGCAGCTAAAGGGTAATGTGATGGCAAGACATATAAATAGCTGAATGCAGGGTAAGAGCAGAGAGGGGTTTGACCTTTGTTTCGTTCCAGTATAGTTATTACAGAATGAACTTCCCAGTTTTGGTTGTCTGGGTGTCATGGGAGATGGCAATCACAAGTGAAAAAGGAATTAGAAGATAAATTATAGACTAATTAGAAGCAGAGCTTATGTGGCTAGTTCATTGAGAAGTCAAGGAGTAACCTAACCACTCTTCAGAAACACCTGTGTGTAAGGAGAAAGGGAAGCTGTAGTTTTACAGTTAGACAGCAGTGAATGGTTTTAAGCTTGAGCCACACAAGTCTTAGATTAAAGTGCACATTTATGAATGACACAGATGAATACTGCTCTTGACAGTCATTAGGTCTAAAATAACTACCCAGACAATAAACTCATGCCAAAAGAGAAATTACTTTTGGGAATATTTGTGACTTGTTGCCTTAGCAGTGACACTGGGCCGTGAAGTGCTTTTTTGAGGCCTATAACTGAATCATCAGAAAAATGTTACACATAGGCAGTATAATGATGAACAGAGCCAAATTTAGAACAGTGGATTACATTAAATGTCAGAAGGTAAGTGATGATAATCTGCATGACTAAAAGAGAGGTAATAGTAAAAATACTAGGAAAATAGGAAGGCTAATAAAGCAAGTTTCCTTGCAATGATTCAAGTTTGAAGAGACTAATAACAACTTGAGGCACTTCCTCAACCTTAAAGAACCTTAAAGAGGATGCTTCTATTATGTAGAAAACTCCAAAAACCTCCCCAAAACCTTAAATAGAAAGGTATTAATTTCACCAGAGTTCCTTATATTGGTAAAGAGGACTCATACAAAGTAGCATTTAGATTATTAGAAACATCTTGGTACCACTGACATTTTTCCTTGAATGCATTTGTATTTCAGTTGGAATGAAATGGTCTTTTAAAGTTGCTTAGTGTAGAGAGTGGGAAAATTATACCATAATTATACCATAAAATGAAAAGGTGAAAGAACTGCTGTGAATTGAAAAGCTTAGCAATGAACCATGTTGTAGAACACTTTTAGCATTTTGTTCAGTGATTTGAGCCTGGAAATCCTGTTACTGTCTATTTTTAAGATCTTTCATTTACTTCTTTGTCCTGTTGTATCATTTTATTTTATTTTATTTTATTTATTTTATTTTATTTTATTTTATTTTTAGATGATTGTCTTCTGTTAATTTTCTGCTTCCAACAGATGTTTGGAACTTGTTATTATGCAGAATTTTTCCTGTTTTGCTCACTGCTTTCTAATAACAGTCCTTTAGCTTTTCATCTTTTGTCTCTTTTTAACTTAATATAATTACATCTGTTTGACTGACTGCAGCACCTCCTTTGCAATGAGTGTACAGTCATTTATTTTAGAAGATACTGTGTAAGCACTTACTCTTAAATAATAGTGGAATATTAGAATGCCATTTGAGGTATGTTGTTCACCGTATAAAATGGAAGCATGCCAGGCTTTACTGGGCAGCAGTTTGTGTTGTGACCATGAGCTGCGTTTTGTCATGCAAAACTTCAGTCTTTAAGTTCAGTGCTGTCACTTGCACTTTGTATGTTTGCTGCTCATTTTATTAGAGAAATTACTGGATTATTCTGTTTCTTCAAGACAATAAATCCCATATTTGCCACATGATGGTGCCAGAGGGTAAATGAATAAACGTCAGCAAATTGTTGCATTGGCTCTCCAAAGCAAGGCCAAGAACATAAACTATTACACGTGTGGCTGGCAGAGAATAAGCTCTTGTGGAACTTGGATAAATGCCCTGTAGGCAGTAAAGTTAACCTTTTTGGCTGTGTGTGCCGTTTTTCACATCTCCAAGTAGAAACATGATGTGAATTTTTGATGAGGAAGTGATGTTCTGCCAGCTGCTGTGGAGCTCATGTATGGCAGTAAGTAAAGAATCTGGTTTGGAGAATAGTCACAATAAAAAAAAATAAATCTAAAAGTAAAGTTATTTGTATTGACAGGAAGTTCAGTATCCTGTGTTGCCAAGATAAAATGCTACTCTCAAATATCTTTTTTAGCATTTAAAAGCAAAATCTTTCAGTACTATTTGAAAAGAAGATTTAAATAGATGCTTCTTGCTGTGGGATTCTTTGTGATGTGGTGTCAGTTCTTGAAGGAAAGATACACTTTAACAGCTTAGAAGGCCTAACACTTAAGAATTTAGGCTGAAAAGTTTCTTTTATTTGTGAAGTTCTGATCGTGGTACTTTATGTGAAGTCATTTGGAAGGGGGGGTGTGTGTGGATATGTATTAAATCCACTGGTCTGGAATCATGGAGTGGCATCTTCTTATCCCAGGCCTTACTCAAGTCTGTTAGCTGCATTATTGGGTAGTGTGCAGCCACTTTTCTTATGCTGTCATCTAAGTTCCATGTGGATAAGCACAGCTGCAAAGCCAGTGAGGAGATTAGTACTAAAACCAATGGAAAATTCCAGAAGTTTTTAATGGGAAATAAGTATTTTCCTTTCTTTTTCATCATTCTTCCAGAATATAATAGGTAAGTAGTCTTGTGCTGCTCCTCTGAAATCTCTGATACTTAATTTCCTTCTTGTCATTACAGTTTGGGCTCTTAAAAAATTTGTGGTTCATTTTGGAGTTTTGAACTTCATGGCAAAGCACTGCAAAAGTTGGTGGCAACTTGTTGAGAATTTTGTCAAGGAACGTCAGGAAGCTCTTGCTCCACGGCCCATCAGAGGACTTGGAAGTGTTATGCTAAAGCTTGACAGTAAGGTATTTCTACTTACTTCCTTAAGCAACTTGGAAGTTTGTTTTATTCTCTGTTCACCATATATGAGATGCTTTAATTCTAAAATAAATGTCTGTCACTAATGGGGATATGTCTTTCATGTGAAACTGTAACTGTTTTGTGGTGTATTTTAGGTTATGTGTCTTCTGTCACTATTCACACTTAAGTGCACATTTGAATTTGTTGAATAGTTGCATGCAAACCTTGACAGAAGTCACTTTTAAAATGTTGACTCAGCTTTATAAGGTTCCTTATCTGAGTAAGGCAAAGTTTTCATGGTTTAGTCACCTTACCTGGTTACAAAGGTTTTGAATTTAAACCTAATGAGCTTTAGTCTGAAGGATAAGATGTTCCTACTTATGTGAAAATCTAATTAAAAATCAGACCATTGTGTTTGGTAAGTAGGGCCCAAGTTAGTTCAGACATACTTGTCTGTAATGTGTGGAAGCAAAGTTGTTGTATACAGCAGTATGGTAATACAAAAATGAGTTCACTCTGTAAGGGAAGAAATATGTGGGATAAAGTATTGGGGAAATGCCATAGAATAAGGCTTCTGTGTTCCCCTCTCTTCTTACCCATGCAAAATATGCCTACATTTGCATTGCAAATAGCGTAGTTGGAAAACTCCAGAAAATATATAAAGTTTCTTTCATTAAGAATTAAAAGTTTTCATGTAAACAGATTATTTTGTTTATAGTAGCTATGGCACTGTGTAAGAATGTGCTTTCTGTAACTGTGTTGCTGAAGTATTTTCTGCTCTGGAAAAAGCCATTATCTTAGGACTTCTGTAACTGAAGAGCTGAACCCTCAATCCTGTAAGTACTCTGATACATCAGAGCATCTGTATCTTGGCAGATTGGTCTTACAGTTTATAGCTCTGAATTCCTACAGGAGAGGGAGGAACTTAAGCCTGGATCTAATGGGTGAATGGATGACAAAACATCATCAAAAGCATTAAATGGCTCTAGGGAGTAAAGTAATAATTTCACAGGGTTCATTGAGGAAGAATTTGAAAAAGGAAAAGCCTTTCATTATACAGCTATAAACACAATAAAGTGGTGTTCCAAGGAAAGTGAAAATTACTAACATGGGGATAAAAGCTTACATTATACAAAGCTTTTATAAAAGGATTTTGTTCTGTAAGAAGAAGACTCTCTAGACACAATGTTGAATGTATTGTTTCATGAGTTGTCAAGTTTGGTATCCTTGTATTGCATAACTGTATGATACAGTATCCTTCCTAATTTCAGCAAGTCTTTTCTCCTTAAAGACGGTAGGGCTTTAATGTGCAGCAGAACCTCTCTCTCTTCAGCTTAAATGTACTTAAGGTCAGTTTATTTACGTGTTGTTTTTGTCTAAGCAAAAGGACAGTGTTGGACAGCTCATTTCCCCATCTCCCTTCACCCCTCCATTTTTCAGATGACAGCTGTATTCCTCCTGAGTCTGCACTCTGTATTAAAGCAGTTTAAGCTTTCCCAGACATTACAAGAAGAGCACTTGATAATCTGCATGATTCTGTTGTCCTCATTGGTGCCTATTCTAATTCTGTTTCAGCCAGCATTTATCATGGGTGGCTGGGATTATATGGAGTTTTCCAATGCTTATCACACTAATAATTCCATATATTTTTAGTTCTGTTGGCTCTGCTTTTTCTGTGTATTGTAGGATGATGGATGCAGAGTATCTCAGAATTTGGGAAGCAATACCACAGACTATTAGCATTTGACATTTTTTGTATGGAAAGGGCAAGACGAGCAAAAATGACATCCTTGCAAGATTTTTTAAGTTGGATTACTGAATGTTTTGACGTCGTAGGCACTGTTGAAGAGGAAGTAAAAAATAACGCAAACACAAAATAGAAATTTGGGGAGTAAATTATTACAGCTTACCTTTTATGGGTGTGCATGAGAAACCAAGACTGAGGGATCATTTCCTTTGCAAATAGAAGTTTAGTTTTTAATATTTTGTTTTTAGCTTATTTTCATGGGAGATTAATCTGCTTAGGGTTTTTGTTTAGTTTGGTTTTTTTTGTTGGTATGCTAAGTTAATTGGAAACGGAATCTTAGCATCAGGATGTATTGGGACTCTTAACTAAGAACAACAAGCCATTAACAATGTCTGTTTCACACAAATACTTAATGGTACTATTTGGGCTGGAAAACATGGTATGCCAAATTAGGATATAGCTCCAGATTTGAGTGAAATGTAGTAAGAATGAGGAACATATCTTAGAGTGGCATGTCTTTTTCCCAAACAAATTTTAGGAGGCTAATGTAGATAGTCTGAAGAATAATCCACTGTGAGAAATGGGTGGGTAGTGCTCATGCATGCAAATCTGAACTTTACTGATTATATCTGTTTTTAAACAAAACCATCAAGAATAGAACTGCTTCTCTTCTTTAACAATTCTCATTTATCCCTGGTTATCCTGGGAGTGCAGAGAAATTTGAAATGAGAGAAATTCTGGACAAGAGAAGAGAAAGGGCATGGCATTTTATTCATTCAGTCTATGTCTGAATGTGTCTCCTTTAAATATGGAATATGAAAATTGGATGTCATTACTGTATTCTTTAGTCTGTGGCTGTGCATTTACCTTATGGAGAGTCAACAGACAGCAGTTCAGATGTGAGAGATTTCCTGGAGGAGAGAGTATGGAAGCTTCTGTCGTCAGCCACCAAGCCACCCTAATTGATAGGGTATTATGTGCGTTCTTATCAACAGTAGAAAATTAATAATTTACTGATTTTTATTTTTTTTTTATTTTGAAGAAGGCTGTTGTCTTATATATGGTAACTGCAGTTTGATTGTAGAAATTGTGAGGGAGTTTAGTAGCATTGGCGGTGGCTCAGCTGCATGCACTAGACTTTTACTTGTTGGAATGTACTAATATTTTACATGCATGCTTTATAATTTACTTGAGTGAATCATGTAGTTGTTATATGTTTTTTCCAGGTATAGTGCACTAGAATTTTATATGTGGATTGTTTAGTGTGTTTGGATTTTGGATAAAGTCAACTTCTATTTCTTCTGGTACCAAGTTCAGTGCATAGTTTAACCAAGCACAGAAAACAAGCAGAGTCTCTGCCAGTACTTATATTATTATAGAAAATACTTTCATAGACATGTAAGATCTTAGATGAATAGTTTTCCAATAAAATACCGGAAAAGTGTCTGTAGACTTAATAATTTTGGACTTAAGATTAAAATTAAGCTGTAGCCTATTTTCAAATGTAGGTTGATTACATTTGTAGAACTACCTTAAACATCAGTAGTGGTAAGCTGGTAGGCAGGTAGAACCTCACAGGTATTGTCTTAAACATTTATAAAAAATATTGTTGTTTTGGACATACTATGTTCCTAATTACTGTATCTATCATCCAATTCCCAGAGGCTGAAATTATAGAAAAATACCAAAGACTTCCTTTCACATTCTGCTAAAATCTTAGGGCTCTTTTGTTGTATTTTGTAATATAGTGGAGCAATACAGCCATGAGATAGAAGTTTTTTCAAAAATGAACCTAATTTACAGATAGTAGGTTTTAAAGTGCAGATGTAAAGTTAAAAGTATGTAATTGAATCAGAAAAAAACTTCCCCTTTTTTACAGATCAGTTATTCCATACGTGAAGAGGTAAAAATAGAAACAAATTCTACAGTGTCAGTTTGAAGATTTTGAAGCTTTTAATTTGTTTTCTCTAACTGTGACTCTCCATGGGTAGCAAAAGCTAGTAAATGTGGGTGCTTTGTGACATATTTTGTTTTCATTTTTCCTGTTCGTGTTTCTTTGTAAATCTGCTTCTAACTTAATCAACATTATGAGATTTTTGTAAGTTTGAAATATTCTTACCTTTTTTTACATTGGGAGCTAATGTAATTTCTGGGAGCTGGTGAACATGATAGATTTACTGAGAATTCAATGGTCCTGTTTTCAGGCACAAGCAAGCCTAATCTCTAGCAGATGAATAACAACATAAAAGCTCTTCACTGTTGTGATTATGCTACTAATTGGTTAGTAATGGTTAGAATTAAGAGTATAGTCCTACATAAACTAGGTTCTAAAACAGGTATGCTTTAGCATGTGGATGAGCATCAGTAAAGAAAAGTAACTTAGTGCAAAAGGAGAAATTGACTGTTGAGAAGTGCAAGAAGAATTACATGAAATCTGTACATTAATATGATCTGCAATTTGCTGTTGTGTGTATATCAGACTTAATTATGTATTTGATGTTGTGCCATTGAATATGAACGCTTTAATATGAATGGGATACCACAAAAACATAAGAAATCTGTTCAACAGTACTTTACTTAATAGGAGTGTTTTGAAATGCATAGAATGGAAGTATTTGAATGCCTGGATGGGAGTATTAATGCCATAAACAAGTACCTCATGTTAAGATTTGTTAAGTTTTGCTGAAATAACCTTCTCAGAGTACAAGTCCTGCTCTGAAATCTGTTGGTAGCTCTCAATATAATTAAACTGGAATTGCCCAGATTGTGCTGATAGCTCTGTTAATACCATTAAAGTTGTTCATATTTGTTATATCCCTCCTTGTTTCAAAAGTGCATGTTAATAGTAAAACCCAGGTTCTTGCATTAGAATTTGTTATGATCTTTTCTTCCTATTGCAATTTACCTTTGTGTCTAGAACAATTTCATTTTCATTCTGTGGATGACTTTGCCTGCCTCTCATTGCTTTTTTTTCCCTATTACTGCATTTTTCAATAATTTTCCACTGTATTGTGTTTTTTTCCCTTTTCTTCCATCTCCCCCTGCCACTGACAAGCTGTGGCACTGGCTTAATAAGAAGGTAAATAAACAGAAAAATTGTGATTCCAACTAATGGATTCTGTGGTTTTGGGGAGTTTGATTTTTTTCTATAATTACTTTTTTTTTTTTATTTTGCAGCATGAACACTCCTTAACATGCCTTGCTTCATACAGATTTCTCTCTCAAATGCCTCTTTTCCAGCTCTTGGTATAAGCTACTGAAGGTCATATAATTGTCTGATCTCTTCTACTCCAGTGAATGCACACAGCTGAATGTTTAGCACAGCAGAGTATTGCACTAGCTTTTCTATGGGTAGAGTGATTTAGGAGCACTTTTATTTAAGAATAGTTGATCTCCACCTGGTCCCCACTTGTACAGCTAACAAAACCAGGGAAAGCATCAGTTAACTCAATTACATGGGGAGTGGAAAGGGTGTGAAGCACAGTTGTATAGCTGTAAATGCTTGCAGAAGTAAGTGCATGGACTGGTTTCAGTGAGTGCTGTCAATCTTGTACTTTTGAAGTGCCAAACTTGCCTGTGTACACAGGCATAGTATGTAGTGTACCAAGAGTGAATGCATACAAAATTAGACTTTGCAGGGCCTCAGAACTGCTGAGTTTTAACAAGTCTGAAGGGAAGAAAAAGGCTAGTTTAAAAAAAAAAAAAAAAAAAAAAAAAAAAAGTTAGTATAGCTAAAATATTTTTTCCTGTTGTGTGGCTTTTAAAAGTGTGTGATATGTTTTCATGATTCAGTTATAACTGTCCATGAAGAGGAGCATTTTTAATGTTCTTTGGCCTTTGACTGTATTTCTCCTGTTTTAAAGTTACATTTTTATTTCCCAGCTTTGAAATTCTTATCTTATGTGAGTGACCTGTGGTTAGTAAATTAAGTGCAATCATAACCTGTCATAATTTTTTTTTCTTAGATACTGTTTTGTTAAAAGAGTTCAGGTGAAGAGCTGAGTTTGGTGAGCCACAAGAGAAAGTGTAGTCTCAACTGCTTTTTTTCTGGCTAAGAATTTTTCATTTTTGTTGAAAATTCATATGAGTAGAGTGGGGTTTTTTTCTTTAATACTGGTAGGCTGTAAAAACAATTTAACTGTAATAGCTTTAAATGCTAAAATGTCTGGATTTCATTTTTAGTTTAGAAATTTACATTATTTGGCAAAACCATGTGGATTCAGTTTCTTAACAGAGTGTGTTCTTTTAGTTCCTTGGAGTTATCTTTGAAAACTGTTTGTTTAGTTTACAGTTTCATAAGTAGAAATCATGAAAGCCCTATAGTATTACATGCAAAGTTGACTTCTGTGCTTGAACATACAGTAATAATATTATAATCAAGGTTAAAACTAAAAAGTGAAAAAATGTACAACTAGTGGGTTCATTTTGTTGTGTGTAGTGTTTTGGTGATTTTTAAAAAAATTAAAAAAAGTCACACTCTACCAGAGTCAATAAAGGGGGTAAAAGCTGTACTGCAGAACACTAGTTTCAGTTGAAAGGTGATTCCTTTTCTGCCTTTCTCCTTTTTGCCTGTCTTTGAAGGGAAGTACTTCACAGACCACAAAGATAAATTTCTGATAATCCAGCAAGAAATTAAAAATCATATGGATATGGCAGAGTTTGAAAGGATGGTTGATTATGACTGTTAGTGATAAACCTTGGCTTTTTAATTCCTGTTCCTGGTATATATAGCCCAAAATACAGACTAGATTCAGTTAGTCCAGCATAATTTGTTCTTAATAACGTTGTCTATTTCAGGAGTCTTTAGAAGGAATTGCTAAATTCTTCTGTTTCTTTTGGAGGGATACTGGTACAGGTAGACTTGAGACCTCACACAGACTGTTCTCTGCCTTTTCTAGCTTAACTACTCGGCTGACTCATTTCAGCATAACTTTGGGATGTGTTCTGGTTACAGACTTCCCCTTATTCTCTACCATTAATGAGATGGTATCCTCAAATATTAATTAACTAAAGAGAAATGAGAAGTCTAAGGAATGTCTTTTACAAAAATCTTCATAAATAGCAGAGCTGTTTACAGAAAAAAATAAAAGTCCATGTTGTTAATTTTATGAAGACTTAATAAAAAATGAAGTAGATGCCTCGATGTGCTTTGCTCTTTGGGTAGTGTAGTAAATTAAACATACTAGAAAAACTACTGAAGGCAATGCAGTATGAAACCTGCAAATATTAATTCATAGATGATGTATCATATTGCATAATGTGGAGAACCTGTCTAGATAGCAGGAATTCTGATTTTTAAGTATCGACTGTAGTTCTGTTACAGCTTAGCGTAATACGGTTTGTGTCATCATCCAAAAGTTGAAAGAGGATGTACTTGCAAATTATTGAGGAACTTTGTAATAGGATGTAACTCAATCATAAAAAGTCTTTTCAGAGCGAGCTAAATTAAAATAAAAACCTTGATAACCTTTCCTTTCAAAATTGTGACAATTAAGGATGTTTTTTTGTGGACAGTCTATCACAGATCAGTAACATTTCAGTTTGGTTTTACAAGTGTGACCTTCTGTAGCTTAGGAGCCTGGCTTTTCTTTACCTTTGCATAATCTCAGATGTTGTGGCAGCCTCAGCTTTCTGCTGTTGACTAACCTTTAGATGAAAAGCTTGGAACCAAATATAAAACTTCATGACCTCTGGCTAATGAGTGCATTTAGTCAGTACATGTTTGTCTCTGTGTGCATGCCCATGGTTTACAGGAAGGGTGTAAAGGGAGGTCTGGCACGGTTGGGGTAAGAGTGAAGTCTGGACCTGATTCAGTGATAAGTACAACCACACAAGCATTTAACAGTGCAGCTTCCCTGCAGTGAGTGTCTTACCTGCACCTATGCATTATTTAACCTGAGTGTGAAAAGGTGAAGGATTGCTAAGGAGGTATTGTGGGTTAATGTAGGGGAAGGAAGTATGTCTTAATAGAAGAAAAAAAAAAGTAAATATAGCCTTAAGTGAATGTTGTCAATCTGCTTTTATTTGTACAACACTCCAATCCAGTCCTCTGCTGTGATATGTCTGTACCACTTACATAATTTGGATCCCCTTAAGTCTGTGTTGAGAGATGTAATTGCAATACCTGTAGGCTTGCCAAAGCTAAAGGCAAAAGCCTTTCATCAGGCTTCCTTGGGCTACCTGCCTGACTAAATAGAGACAAGGTGGGCTTGCATGGCTGAGGCTGCTGCTGGTACCAGTACATCATCAGTGCTGCCATGACTTTACTAACTAGATTAAAGGTAATCCAGGATTTATGTGCACTGCAGCTGCACCTTTGTGGTAGTCCGGTCATATCTGAACCCTCAGCATGAATTTCCGGGAAAGTTACCTTATCCGTCATGTGCCATCTCAGAGAGAGTCCTCATCCTGGTCTTTTGGAGCTTGACATTCCAGTAGTTGGTCAAATATCTAAAGCATTCAACCTCACCTCCACTGAGATTTCACTGGTTGGATACCACTCACACAATCACTGAGCCTAGCATTTTTGGAAATCTCTGACAGTACTTCCAGTTAAATGGATTCAGCGAATCTGATTAAGGTGCTATATGTAAGACTACTGGATTTCTTTTAACTCTGGCTTAGAAAGTAAATAGCAGTTTGAACTTCATCTGAAATGACAAGGGCAGCTTTAATTTTTAATAGCTTCGTTTTGAAGTTCATGCTATAAAATTTTCTTTCCCTGCTTATCCAGTGGTGTTTTCTTGGTAATATTTTTTGTTTCTGTCCTTTGAAACAAGGACTTTGATTTCTTGCTTCTCTTGTATAATCATTAGATGTATATGAGGCTTGGAAGGACACAGAAAATCCCATTTCAGTCTTCTTTCCAAAGAGGTAACCCCTATATATACACCATATATATGCCCTGTACAGGAGATACTCAAAGTTTTTCAGAGAGCTGCAGTACTGCTGCAGGCAGGTCACCTCCCTCCAGCACTGGCAATGCATTTCTGATGGCTGAAATATTTTAGCAATGCTGAAAACCAAACTTAGGTTAAAAATACCTAAGACAAAAGATTTTTCACACTCCCTCATGTTTTCTGAGTTCCTTTCTGCAGTTCTTAATGTAGTGCAGACTTTGTTACAAGAACTTAGTTATTTTAGATCAAACGAGGAGCTAGTTGTAAAAACTTGAAGTTCAGAAATAATTACTTGATGTACATAAAGTGCTCAGATGCTACCAGATGAACACACACAAAAAAAATCCTTACTTTTTTCAAATAGGAGATCTAACTTCAGTGTTGACCAATTTAATCATCACACAGCAGTCTGAGAGGTTCACTGTTCCTGGGTCAATTTCATGTGTAGTGATAGGGTAAATAATGAAGAAAAAACTAATGTAAACCATTAGCATGCATATTAGTAGTATTATAAGATCTCTAACTAAAAAATTACCAACTTAATTGTTAAATATATAACGTGTACTTGAAATTATTTGTGCTTTCTACATATTGGCTTTGACCTCAGTTCTTGTAAATCACAAATTTTACAATTGTGCTGTTGCTTTTTCCTTTAGTAATGCTAAATGGAGTAGAAATAGACCTGGTATTTGAACCATAGGAGCTAGAAAAATGTATTTGGTCATGCTTGCATGTGCTTTCACAGCTTTTTATGTAAATAGTCAATTTGTGTATGAGGTGAAGCTCAGCTTGCACTGTTCCAGAGCACTCTGCAAAGTCGTGTGACTGAGCAGTTTCATTGTTTTGAATGACATTATCAGAATTTCTCTACTCAAATGTGGTTTCACCATTTGCTTATGGACATGTATAGATTGAATGGGCCATTTTGTAAACTGACAGAACAACAAACGTGCCTGTTATCATAACTGTATCGGTCAGTTTAGCTGATGCATGCTTTATGCTGAGCATCCTCCTGAGACTGGAAGTGGATAGAAATAGTTGGTGCTGAATAATTGGCCTGATAATCAATAATGTAGAACCCCACCTGTCCCGTTTCAGTTCAGAAGGTGATGAGGCAGCTTTAAAAATTTTATTACTTGTAAAAATACCTCATTTGTCATTTAGATGGCTCTTAGCTATTCAAATCTGAAAGTTATGGTTTTGCTTTAAAGTATACCTTGCTTTGAAGTCCTGTGCAGACAGCATCTGTAAGTTTCCAAGTTGCTGAAGGACAAGAAACAAAGACAAATTTCTGGGTTCTAGCTGACATGAATGTCTTCTTTAGGTGCTTCTCTAGGTCTAGTAAGTAACTGTCGAATTACTGCTTGCTTTGCAGAGAGCTTGCCATGTTGTGTGGTAATGTGTACATATTTTTTTGCAAAATCACATCATACCATGACCTTAATCATGCTAACATTGCTTGTTAATTGTTCATTTCCAAGCTTGGGCATAAATGCTGCTCAATTAGAGCCTGATTTTGTACTGTGATTGTAAATAAAAATAACAATACTGTCGCATAACATACAGCATTGCTTTCATTAAAGATTGATTTATGTGGTATAATTTGTTTTTTTTTTCTGCACAGATTATCGTGTGGTTGGAGAAAATGCTAGATAAAATAATCAGCATTTTCATAATATTTTTGCTGGTGATAGGAACTCTTCTGCTAGCTCTTCTCCTTACTGCAAAGGTACAGTGTGCTAACAAATATAATCATAGAGGTCATTTTAGTTGCTGGTGAAGGTTACTGATACTTATACAAGATTATATAGCCTAAAGAATTTTTCTAAATGTTTAGGAAATAATTGCTCTGCAGTTGAACTGGTAACAATTCCAAGACTATAATATATAGAAAAAAATATATAAAAATCTCAATATTTATATTTATTTGTATTTCTCTGGGTTTTGCCTATATTACAAGGCTAATATATAGACATTTGGAAAGACAAAACTTATTCTAGTAAAAGAATTACTAGCTTATGTATTACAGGAACAGATTGGTTTTGCATCCTGTTGACACTGTCCTTGTCAGCAGAAGAACCACTTCGAATTTTTTTCCCTTTTATTTACCTCACATCAGAAACATTTGCAAAATAATTATGGTGTGTTTGTCAACTTTTTTGTGTAATGGCCTGTAAAAACCTCATGGTATCTTTTTCTGAGTTAAATGTACTGAGATTCATGATCAGGTGTTCTCTGAAATTGATTTTTGGTTTATGGTTGAATTTGTGTGGGGTTTTTTTTTGCTCACCAGAAGAGGTCACTCGTGTACTTTTTTTCCTTTTTTCCTTAATGGAGGTGTATTCATACTTGAAACAGTCTATGGAGACTGAATGTTTGACTTTAATACAGTTAGAGAACAAAGATCAGTGGGTTCTGATGTCAAAAATGTAGACATATATAATGTTGAAAACTTGCAATTGAAGACTTAAGAAGTTGAACAAACATTCCTGACTAAAGCTCCTGTATATTCATAAAAGGACTTTTAAGATACTTATAAAAGGTGTATTTTAGCATTCTTGCTGAAGAATTTGTTTGGTCAGGCACTTCATAGCAGGGCTGGTCATATTAGAACTAAGTAGTGATTAATTTTTACACTTCTTTGATCCATGTTATACCAGATATACCAAAAAGGTATATCTGAAACTTTGTATTTTATTATTATTATGAATATTTAGTATTAAATTATATATAGTTAATATTTAGTATTAACTTTGTATTTAGTGCTTCTCTTGACAGCACTGCTGTTAGTGTTGAATCTTTTTCCTCTGATGTGATAAAGTTTACATTTCCATTTGCTATTACTAGTGACCAGAATTTATTATTGTATTACTAGGTGTTTCTTGTGTTAATGAAACTTCTTTGTTCATAGAAGGTTGTTTGCACTGGAAGACTTATTCTTCAAATGTACAAACTGGTCACTGTCCCCCTTCTCACCTTCCCCCACCCTCTTCCTTCCAATCCCACTCCCCCTCCTCCCCACCAAAAAAACAAGAATTATTTCAGAATCTAGAAAGGGTTGTGGTTTGCATTGCATAACATTTCTCCTCTCTCTTTTTAAATTAGGTACATCAAGAGAGCGTTCACATGATTCAAGTCACAAGCAGCTTGATCAATGAGACAGTAGCCAGTCACCCAGAATGGGCAAAGTAAGAATGCTGAAGTTAAGCGAATAGTATAGGGTGGATGAACAAGCTTCCAGGTGCTCTTATGCTTAGTTTTTAATTTAAAACATCCCCTAGGTGAACAGAAATGTGGGTGTCTCTCTCAGGCAGTTTACTGAGTTTACAGTTTAGCTGTAAAAGCTAAACTCTCAGACAGCGGGGATCTTTACGCATCACTCTGGGGGACTGTCAATGTAGTATCTGATTTGAGGGCTGGTTGGATTTTGGTGGTAAAGAGCCAGCTGTATGAACTTTTCTAGCTACAGTTGTGGAGGAGAAACTTATATAGTGCAGAGAATAAGGAGATCTGTATTTTTTCCTTTTCCTATGAAGGAGAAGTGCTGGCACATTCTAGAGCACACTTGCTCTAGAAAGTTTCAAGATAAAGTTAAATTATTTTTTAAATGTAGGGAAATGTATGTGGAGTGCATTTGAAGGAATAGGAGTTGAAGACATTGTTCCTGGAGTGAGCCAGAGAAAAGTTCAAGGGTGGAAAGAATGGTGGATGGGGAGGAGTGAGGTGTGAATCAGTTGGGCAGGCCATTCCTGTTAAGAGTAGATGTGTATAGTGTGGACAGTGAGAAGTTTGTAAGGTTTAGTCTCTGTAATGACTAAGGTAAGCACCAAGACAAGCAGTAAGGCAGAGAGAAGGTTTTGAGAGAAATGCATCTACAGGAAACATGGGCACACTGGTGAGCAAAGGAGTCATTGCATGAACATCAGAAGGGGAATAGGTGAAACTGAAAAGTGTGATTTTAAGGGTAGCATGCTCCAGATGGCTATCATTCTGCTTCAGCTAAACAGACGTTGGGCAAATGTGAGATACCAATTTAATGCCATCAAAAAAAGATCTCTCCAGAATAAGAATGCTTGACTCTTTCAAGGTCACATTCTAAATAAAAGTGATGGTGGTTTAAGAAGGTTGAAAGAAAGCAGATGCTGTATTATAAGAGCAAAACTATTTTTCAAAAACAGCACTAAAAGGATATAGTTCATAACCACTGTAGTAATATACATGCTTTAGCACTACTAAAGTTATCACATTCATGAAAACAGAAAGCACTTAAAGCACTTGGGTTTATTCTTTCATGGCATCTCCTGTGTTGTTTGGCCTTTCTGTTTTGTAAGACGGAAATAAGTGGGACTAATGAAGATGGAAATTTGGCTGTCAGAAGCTTACTTACATAATGAAAGTGCTGGAGCACTAGTTAAGTAATTTGCAGAATTCTCATGTAACTTTTTACTTCCAGTGTTTGCATCCAAGTTTGAAGTATCCATAACACTATATTTTAGTTCATTAAGGGTAAGAATACCTCTTGCCAAGTCCATGAACCTTTGCTAGCTTTCAGAGCTTGATGCTCTTATTGTGTTTAGAGGTGAGTGACAGAAATGTCTTGCAATTCTAATCCAGAACATTTCTGAAGCGTTATATGAACAGAAGAGCTTCCATGTTGATCTTCAGTCAAGTGAACAAATACAGCAGTTCCATCTCCTGAATGCTTTCATTTTGTTTTGGAAGGGCTCCAACAAGTGCCATTGAATCAAGATGTAAAAAGAAAGTCAAAGCAGAGATTGTGTGCCCTGTATTCACAAGTGGTGAAATGCTGGCAACTCAGTAGGGTACATTGTTTGAAAGCGATGTGAGTCCCTGAAGAAATTCACAAGCAAGTGGTTTGGTGAGGACGTAGAAATAGCTGATATCCAAACCTTTTGTCAGCTGGTTGCTTTTCCATGGAAACTATGTTAACGATTTACATTCAACTTGTAATTCAAAAGGTTGTTTGCAGGTAGATGGGACAGCTTCATACAGTGTTTTCAGGAAACTGGGGAAAAAAAAAGAATGTCATGTGAATAGCACACATACAGATTGAAGAGCAGGTCTCTTCTGAAAAAGTTGAAATATCAATTTAATTAAGGTTTCAGGAACCTTGGAGGATTTTAAATGCAATGACATGCCCTGGATTTAATTGTGCTTTGCTTATGGGAAAATCTGTTCCTTGATATGTAGAAGGAAACATTCAAGAGTTAATAAGTTTGTATGTATTTAATTGTAATGATTTGTTGTTTCAGAAGGTTAATTTGCCAAGTGTTTTGGGTGTAATGAAGTGGGTATAATATATAGCAGTTAACTTTGTTTTCCCTCTTCAAAATCCCCCCCAGCTGGCTCCCAGAAGCTCAGGTCATTCAGAAGGCGCTCAATTCTGCAGCTAACAACGTATACCAGTATGGCCGAGAATGGATCACACACAAGGTAAGAGTGAGCTGTCAAGAAACTCCAGTTCTTTGGGGATTTTTTTCATTTCTTGTATTTCATAAAAGTAAAAAGAAATAAAAATAAATTTGTCAGTAGTTCTTTTCCATGTATTTAACCATTTTATTGACAGATCTATTCTTTCCACTCTGGTTTGGGATTTTTGAAGGAGGAGTGGGAGCGATTTCAGTAGTCTTTTCTGTTCAGAGGATAGTTTCTTTTTAAGAACAGAAGAATCTGTCATCATTCTAATGATTTCCAGTGAAAATGCATCAAATAAAATAGAATAATTTTTTTTTTAACTGGCTTTAGGTGTCCTAGTGTAGACAATATAGACTTCTATTGCGACCACTGCCCCTCCCTCTCTAATTTCTGTGTGGGCTGGGTGTGGTACACTGCACATTTTTTTAATCCTCATTTGTATAGTTAAGCTAACTTTCTTCAGATGAATTTGACAGGAATTTTATTTATATATTTGATATCTAGCATACATCTCAAATTATTTGAAATATTTACTTCAAAGATATGAAGGATTTTGGATTAAGCATTTTAGAGACAGCATTTGTTTCTCAGAGCAGAAAGAAGTCCTTAGTGCAGCAGAATGTTTTTTAGCAAAGTCTTTGTATCGTGAACCATGTTGTCTGAGGTGTGTATTTCATACTGATACTAATTTTTCTATTAACTTGGTTTGAAATGTGCCTTTACAGACATGTTATGTTTATGTTATTCATCAAGCTTCATCAGTGGATGCCTGCTTTGTTTTGTCCTGTATAATAAAAGATTTTTATGTATTTTAGCTCCATAAGATTTTAGGAGAAAAAGTAAATAACACTGCTGTGATTGAAAAGCAAGTGCTGGAGCTCTGGGACAGGCTTTATCACTCTTGGTTTGTGAAGGTGGGTAACTTATTTAAATGGTATTCATATAAACTATCACTTAGTACTCTGAGATAATTATGCTAAGTATGCATTTCTGAGGAAGAGATTAGCAGAAAGTTGGAAGGTTGAGTAAAGGTTAGTAAAAAGAAGGTAAAAATTTCAAGGTAAAACTTTCAAGTGTGTAAGACACTCCTTCTAGAGTCACAGTTTTAGTATAGCCAGAGCTGTGGCCTACACCTAAGTAGTTAAGTGTGTTTTTGTCTGTGCCATGTTACAGTTTTTTTCACTTCTTATAATTAGTATTTCATAGTTTAGCACTTTCTGCTGAATTTTTTTGTTGTTGAGGTCTTGGGAAAAGGCAACTGGTCTTCTGCATGATTTGTGTAACTTCTATTAATTTGAAATTGTGAGAAAGTAATTGTCCTCTTATTAAGTTTCTTACAGTGCTTTTTTGCAGCCATCTTATAATGGGCTCTGTACACTGAATCCTGAAAAGTTCCTAAGAGTTAAATCATTGTTATGCTGACAATGATGTTGCCTTTTAAAGGATATAAAGCAATTCTTTAGCCATTGTGCAATGGAAATACCAAGTCCAGAAGTCATATTCCTGAAATACTTCTGTATATTTAAGTGATTGCAATTATATTAACACTTTTATTTATGCAGTTATTCTTCAAATACGTGTAAATTTCCAAAGAGACCTCTGCATTAAAGAAATAACAGTTTTGGTATAGAACTAGATGAACACATGATGGGTCTCCATACAGTTTACAAATACAGAAGGTCTATTGGAGGGAGATTGTTAACTACTCATACATTTCCACTCTAAATAAATTGCTAGCTCAAAAGAAAGATCTCTCTGTTGGCAGTGGATTGTTGTAGAAGGTTGCTAATTGTGCATCGCAGCATGTAACAGTGCATCTAGAGAGAACTGGTAATAAGCAGAAAACATAATGCTCTTAGATAAATCAGTGCAGGGACCGCACTTGGAATGTTATTTGCCATATGTGGCAAAAAAAAGATACTGTCATTTTGAATGCAGGGTACCAAGGCTAAAAGTGTGCAGAAAATTTTAACAAGTAGTGGTATTCTCATTGTAAATGCCAGAGTTAGTAACTAGTCTCCTATTAAAGACTAGGGTGTTGTAGTCAGCAGGTTTGCTTGAGCTTGCTTATAGAGAATTTTGGCATCCTCTGAAACACTTGTCACAGTCCCAGACTGAGTCAAATAGCCTCATTCAAGGTGGTAATCACAATGGACAATAATGTGACAATAGGCAACTTCATAATTAGGGAGGATCCACTTAAGTAATTAGCTGTTTTATGGCCATGTCCTGTTGTTTTGTTGTGTTGCAGTTACAGAGGTGTGTAGTCAGAAGATATCCTTGTGCATCCAGTTTCGGTTTTAGGTTTTGTGTGATTAACATTACCTGTGGAGAGGTAGAAAAGAGGTAGAAAGAAGTAGAGGTAGAAAGAAGTAAGAAAACTACTTGCTTGGACTTCTGCTTGCATTTTTCTTTGTGGGCTATGCTGGGAAAACTTGTATGTTGTAAACACTAAATTATGTAGACAGTAACTGAAATCATTACCTCTTTCTTGTGTGCTTTCATTAAGAGCAAAATAGATACCGTTGTATCAGAAAAGCAATAAAGTTAATTTTTAACAGAGGTGAATCAATACAACACACACATATATAATTAATTGGGATAATTAACTACAGTTTTCTGTCAGATTTTAATTTTTCCAATGTACAGAGTATTTCTAGATATTTTTGGGGATGCTAGTTAGAGCAGCTCTAAGTATTTAGATGCATGTTGGATCTATTCCTCATTAAGAAAACATCAGTCTAAAGCATTAGCTTTTTACTATCTCATATCTAAATTTTATTTGAATGTCTATTTTCTTTGTTTTTGAGAATGTGACACATTCTGGAAGACACAAAGGACACAAATGGCACATAAACCGTCAAAACAGCTGGCTTGGAGATATTCTGGATTGGCAAGATGTTGCATCCTTTGTTCATGATAACATCGAAACATTTCTCTCCGTACGTATTCTTTGCACTTACTTTGAAATTGGCCTAATTTTTAACTGATAGTAATTTCTCCTTGGAGTGCCATAAGGTTATAGATTGAAGTAAATGGAAAATTATGACTGTTAGTGTTATTTACAATTATCTAATCAATTACTGAAAGCTTATTTAAGATATAACTGTAAAATAAACAGAAATGTTTATAATAAAGAAGCTCTTGTACTTTTAGTATGGATACCAGCTTCCCAGACATCTTCCTGAGGCAGATTGTTACCTGTGTCACCTGCAAGCTGATTCTCAATGCATTATTTTATGTAGTCTTTTCTCTTTAAAGAAGAAACCAATTGGTTTAGGTTATAACTAAAGAAGCTATTGACTTAAGAGGTTGTGACAACAAAATCGAGCAATAAAAGCAAGGGGCTTATCTTTTTTTTTTTTTTTCTCAAATTATTATTATTTGTTGGGTTGAAAGCAGCTTATTGTTCTCTTCTTTTATGAAAGTCCTGTGGAGAATGAAATTAATGTTTTACACAGTGTGAATTCCTGAATAAAAACATTTCACCTTATGAGGAGAAAAAGAGGAAGAACTGAAAGCAATCCAAATTGAAGTGCTTCACTAAAAAATCATGTTAAATCCAAAATGCTTAATACACAGAGTCAATCCCCAATATAGTCCAGCTTTGACTTGAGTTGTTGTCATTACTAGAAGTATCTTCAATTTTGGAACACTATTATTTAAACCTATCTGCCACTATCGCATTCTAGTGGATGCAGTTAGAGCTAGTATTTGCCTCCAAGCAGTTCTTGATTTAGACTGATAGGCATGTGTGCTTTTTGTGTCCTCCCCCAATTGCTGCTTAAGTTGTTACAGCTTCTACTATAGACAAAGATGTGAGACAAGGAAGAGTTGAGAGAAACTTTGCTGCAGTAATCATTTTTTCAGTTAATTAAGAAATTTTCTTAATACTTTCTCAAAGTTGGCCATGAATGCTTGAGGCAGAGGGTTTAAAAATGCACAACACATCATGATTTAAAATAAATGTGGAGTTTCCTTCTAGGCAAGAGGCACAGAAGGAGGAGAAACTACCTGATAAGAGTGTGTCATTTGCAGCATTGCTGCACAGTGTTCAAGAAACCATGATATAAAGTGTGCTTCAGTAATCTAAGCAGACTAGAGAGAGGCAAAGCAAAGTGTAAAGAGAATAAATATTTAAGAATGAAAAACATTAATATTAAAATTTTCATCTAGCTAACATGATTGCTTTACTTCTAAAACTTGGTTTAGAAGTTCAAGAAAAAAGTGCCAGCAATTGACTTGCTTTCCTGTTTATTTCCAGGAATTATTTACTCATCAGCTGTGAGGAAACACCTGCCTTTATTCTCCATATACTTATGTCCTTAATAGCAGACTGTAAACCAGTCAGCTTAGTCTAAAGCTCAAATCCTGATTTCACATCCTTAATGAGCAGTGTTTTCTTTCCTGACTTGCTCATCTACAGTGCATTGCATAAATATTACTCACACTAATATTTTAAATTAAAATTGACAAAACTACAGTCTCTGTTCTTGTTTAGGTCATTAAAACTTGGAGTTTATGAAAATAAGAATAACTTTTGCTTAAGTCTGGTATGTTAAAGCAAGTTTCTTGCCAAGCCTAAGATACAAAGCAGCCTTACTGTATTCAGGATTTATGTTCTTACCTACCAGAGCATGAAAACCTTTCTCCTGGCATTTTGAGGTGGAACAATGGGTTCCTAGAAAGGATTACTGAATTGGGAGGGGTTACTGTTTTAAATTATGTGAGTGCTTTTGGGAGTGTATGTTCTGGGGATTTAATTTTTCTTTTGCTTAAGTTCTTTAGTTTGGATTTTTTGTTTCTTTGTTTTTTTTCCTGTTTTATGGAACTTTGGGTGGGGCTTAGACCAGATTAGATGGGGCTTTGAGCAACCTGGTCTGAGGAAAGGTGACCCTGCCTACGGCAGGACGATTGGGATCAGATGTTATTTAAAGTCCCTTTCAACCCAAACTGCTTTTAATTTTTGTTTGAGTGTGTTGTTCATGGGGACAGTGAGGTTGAACACTTGAAATCAATGCTAGCTTGAAGTTCTTAAGAATATAGCAAGACACAATACAGTCCCAAAGCTGTGTTGACAGTTTTTTTAATGTACAGATAATTTAAAGGCAATGAGATAGCTGTAAAGAACTGGGTAAAGAAGCGAATATACAGCTCTAATGAGATTTCCTCCACTTTTGGAAAAAGAATAAATGTGTATGATTACACAACTTGCATGTAACAAATATTTATGCATAGGTTGAGTTTACCAAAAAATAACTGTCTTGCTAGCCCCTTCTTGGCTTTCTGAAGTATTTCAGAATAGAACAAATGACAGTTTTCTCTGAAAATACAGCTATTGACAATGTCATATTACAGCCACAAGCAGATAAGCTCTTCTCCACTGATGGAAGTCATAGGAAGTGTTCTTCCTCCTTAACACAAGAAGGAGTGTTTGCTGTAAGAAAAATGTTAAGAGAAGACAGATGCTAGTGGTTCCCTTCAGGCTTTTCCTGCAATGGAAGAAATTTTCATTTTAGAGTTGAAAGTATATAATTAAATTACTGATGTAGGTGTGCTGGGGAATTGCTGGCGTTCATTTAATTTGTAACAACATGCATGGATTCAACTTTGCAACTTTGAGTATCAGGTAAAGCTTGGAAGGCTTCTGTACCCCCTTCAAAATGTGCTGTTCATTATAGCAGTTATGCTTAGCTATAGTTTGATGTAGGCAGACCTTAATTATTTTAAAGTAATTTATTATATAAACATGTAAATTGCTTGAAGATTTAATATGAAGATAAGCTTTTCCAAGTCATAGTTCGCTTTTCTTTTCTAAAAGCTTTGTTGTCAGCAGCATTGCTGCCTTTTCCAGTATTAGAAGCAGTAGTGTTAAAAACCAGCATAATATAATCAGTGATGTGTTTGTGAAGTGGGGTTTATCTCATCTCATCTCATTCTTGGCAGAGAGAGCAAGAGTGGAGCCTTACTTATTTTGCACCCCATACTCCACTCTAAGGTAGTTTATCAGATGGATGAAATAGGCAGCATGTAGCTGGACTATTAAGACTTAATTTCTGAAAAATAAAAAAGGCTCATTCTTTCCTCACTCATCTGCTCTTCTATTCATAACCATTTTTCTCCATTTCTTGTATGCTTGTAGCATTAAGAAAGTGAATTGCTGCTGGCTAAATCTGTGAATGATGACTCAGAGCTCCCTTGATGTTACATGAGACATTGCTAACGTCTTCTTAATTTGATCTTTTGGCTCCTTGCACAAGAATACTCATTATTCCACCAGCAGGTGGTATCTCATTCAGAGATCTCCCAGACAGGAAGACAGAAGACCTTTCACAAAGATACACAGCAAGTTTCAGCTTAGTTAGGTTTCCCCTTTCCGTGCTTTTAGCGTGACTGATCTGTGCATTTTAAATCAAGTCAGTTTCTCAAATATTTCACTGAGATACTACAAATCCTAATATTTTCTCTGGCTTCAGCAATTTCTTCAAGTAATTTCATAAGTTTATAGCAACTCAGTCCATTTCTCAGTAATATATCAACTAGTACGTTGAGTTGGTTTTTTTTTCGTCTTTGTGTCCAATTTTATTCCCTTTATACAGAATGGAGTTAGGTACACAATTTTATGTGACTTCCGGTTTTCTGACTTGAAGTTCTCAGCAAATTACTGTTCTGGTCAAGTGCCTTTTACCCTCATATTCAGATGTTGACCAGTTCAAAAGTGGCCAAGAGGACACCCTAGATGCCTGAGAACGTTATGTACAGTTTTGCTTTCTTGTCTGTTACATATTGGAAAGGTACAGTAACTGATGCTGATGGTAGCACAGCGCAGTGTGATGTGTAAGAGAGTCCTGAATTCTGTACAGCTTTGTAGCTCTTTTAAACACTGATCCCTTACAGCTGCTTACAGAGCAGTGGTTTGGGGAAAGAGGTTTTCTGTTATTTAAGAGTAAAAAAGTAACTAAAAGTAATGTAACATTATTGCATAAATATTCACACTTTGTTGTGCTTTGCAGAACTCAGCTGGGAAGGTGTTAACAGTTCTTTGTGTGTAGTAGGTGAGCTCATCAACTCAGCTGTAGTAGGCTCTGGGAATCAAACAGCATTATGAACTCTGAGGTGCAGCTGCATGTAATTTGATTTTGTGAGAGGTAGGGAAGTATTTGAGCACTTTCTGATACTGTATTCAGTAATGATTAATGTCTGCTATGTCTGTCTCCTCACCTTAGCTATGGAAAGCTTGTATCTTGAAATTTTAATGATACATATGTGTAACGAGGAATTACTCTCATTGGAAACAAGTCCTAAAAGATGCAGTTGCTTTCATAGGACATGCCAAAGCTGTAGAAAGGCACTATCTGCACTTAGTCTAAAGCAGATGCTGGTGATAACTAGTCCAACAGTTCCAGTCACTGACTCCACCAAACAAGGATGTTCACATAGGAGAACCATTCCTTATGCAAACTGAACAGCCTGATACCTGCATTTAAACTACCTGCAGCTGTACATTCCTGGTTATCAGGAATAAAGGCTCTGGATAAAGCTTCTAGGGAAAGTGTTCAATAAATCCTGCCTATACTGGAGAAACATCCTATTCTGAGGAAAACTTTCACAGTCTCAAAAATTCTGTGCTCTCCTCTGGCAGATGGAAGAAGTTCCTCTCCTTGTAAACTCTCACTGGTTTCAGTTCAGCTTACCTGTTGCGAATGAGGGCTTTAACAATTGCTGTGATTACTAGTCAGAAGGCTCTTAAATCCAGCTAGTTTTCTCTTTGGAGCAAAGCTTTACTAGACCAGTTTTCATTAACAGCATGCTTCATGCCAGTGGTTTGCTTAACAGTCTCCTAATCATTATCATTATGTACTGAAAGTGGTCAGTCCATAAAAAACATGTCCTACATATGTGAGGCTAAAAAGCCATCATACCCCTTGACCCCTGACCTGCAATATATGCTGTGATACTTGGGAAAAGTATTACTTTTCCAGGTCATGACAGGTGCCTTGTCTTGTTGTCAACCTGTTGTGTTTTTTCCCCCCCCTTTCATAGTTCCTACTTCATTTTCTTGAAGGAAAAGCAGTCCTCCTAGCTCGTATTGTTGCGCATCTTCAATGCTTTCTTACTGAAAGCACTGCTCATGTTTAAGAGGCCTTTGTTTTCAACCTGTATCCCTATTTTCAAGGCCTTTGCTGCTGTTCTGTGATTCAACTCCACACTATAGCAGAAGACTTGTGGCACAGAAGCTCCTGTTCAAATGCCAAGTTCTAGTAAGAAGCTTAAATATCTGCGAGGGAACCTTGCATACAACTTAAGGCCTGCTATTAGCAATGATAGCGATATCCTTCCTGAATACCAGCTGGAAGGCCTGTGCTTCAGCTACAAGCTATTCCCTCAGAATTCACTGTCCTCTGTGTCTACAGTCCTCATAACATAATGTGCACATGAAAATGTGCACATGAAATGCAGGAATTTGCTGCACTGCTGCACCCCCAGAACGAATTTGTAGTCCAAAGAAGAAGCAAAGGGACAGGTACCAGTGGGAGAACGTTTTTCAGCAGTGTCCTCTTCGCTTCTAGCCTCTCTTGAATTCTCAAGAGACACTAATAAAATCTGTACAAAAGATGATCTTTAACATCAATAATTCCCACTAAATAGTAGGAAGCATGAACTGAATTGGTCTTTCTGTGTTGTAATTCCCTGTCATTTCCTCAAGCCCTTATTCCTTCTCCAGTTCACGCCTAATAAATTATGTTTAATATGATTCACTCCTAAAGGAGAGAAGATCACATGGCTTACACTCCTTTGTCTGCTCTACAAATGCTGACTACTTAGGAAGGTTTTTTTTTGTTTTTAGGGAGTTTTTGGTTGGTTGGTTTTGTTTTAATTCAGTCTAATTGTGATTTGTTAAACCAAGGCTTACAGTCGCTAGTTTTGAAGTCTTGTCTTATGGCTTTGAACCTGAAGAGCTTTTGTGTCAGAGCTTTTACAGTCTTTCCAGTTACATTAGTTAGTCTGAAAGAAGACTTGTTTGTGATCTTGCTTCTTTTATACGTTAGAATCACTTTGGCTTATACATTCTTACTGTATTCCTTCTGGATGAAATATTTGTTTGAAACTAGTGTGCATTGCATTTAGGATGCTTCTTTTGATGCATCAAAACTAGTCTTTACTATATGTAACCATAAGCAATCGGTTCCCCAAGCCAGTAAAAGTTTTAGTAGATTATCTAATATTGTTTGATTTATTTTAAGTAATTACTTGACCAACTGATGCAGCCTTACTCAAAATCACAACTTCTGCATTTCTCTGCAAATATTACTAAAAACATGCATTTCATTACCATGAAAGCTTTTAACATCAAATTTATTGAAGTATTAATTTGATTATTTGACTGAGAGAATCAGATTTATTTCTACCCAGTTCTGCTTTTGAAAAGGTGAATATTTTCTCCCAAGACAAGATCTATTTGACAGCAATGTTAATCACAATAAATGTCACCACATCTAGTTCTTTTGCAATTTTGTATAATGAAATAACTTTGAATACTGAGAAAAATTCCAAAAACCTTATAATCAGCTACATAGAAACTTATATTTGATAAAGTGGACATTTTCACTTGATAGAACCTGCTGCAGTGTAGGAGTGAGGGAAGATGATTTTCTTTTAAAGTGATCTTTGTATAGCTTGATGGAGATGAATCACTCAGCAAGTAATTCTCTGTCCTTGCTAATAGCATCCAATGTCTAACTGTGTCTTCTCCCTCCTTTTTCAGATCCTCGAGTCTCTGTGGATAGTGATGAGTCGCAATGTGAGCCTCTTGTTTACTACAGTTACAGCATTAGTGACAATCCTCTTCCACAGTGGGACAGCTCTTCTCAATTTTGTGCTTTCAGTGGTAAGTAGTATGTCATTGATTTACGTGGTTCATTTTACTGGAGTAACCTAATTGCACGTATTGTAACAATGAAAACTCAAACCTAAAGCATTGAAAACATCTTCTAAACTTATCTAATACCAAAATTTTTTAAGATTTTACAAATTTGCTATTTATTTGGGATCATTCTAGATGGAGGGCAAGATTAGGAGGTAGTAAGTCTTCCTGTCATTCTATTAGTGGGAAATTCTTGTTTCAGGCCTTGAAGGTACTAAGCTGTAGCTTGTAATATCTTGCATATAACTGCTGAGGAAATCTTATACCATGTCTGCATAAGCATATCTCTGTACAGGGCATTGCTTTCAGGAGATGGAAAAAAAATTTGCAGGGAAATCACCAATTCAGTTCTCTAGTTGTCATATATAAAAAAAAAAGATTGCATGAGAGTAGTTTATTTCTTCCTTAGTCCATAGCTTCATCCAAGATGGTACATATAAAACTTGTCCAAAAACTTAGCATACAAAAATTGCAAGCTTAGGAATGAATTGCCAATGATTTCAAGGCACTCAGGCTCAGATGCAAAATTTATTTTCAGATGCCTTATGACTTCTAAAAAGTTTGTTGTATGCTGTTGCTGTGATGCATGATCCTGACTTTTTGTCTTGCAGCAGAGTCCTGCCTCTTGCTGGGGCACAGTGCAGTCAGCTGAGGTAGTTGGGATCTTGCTGTGTTGTAATTCTTAAAAATTAGATGCTTGAACTGTACTTTCATTTTTTCATTTTTCAGGTTTCCTAGTTGCTACAGAAAAGTTTGGAGTGGCACAAACTAACTTAAATTTTCCAACAAGAAAATGCTCAAAGTGGTTAACTTTTCTACTGATTACATTTCAGTCTGGTTTTAGTCATCTTAAATAGAAATTAAAATTCTGAATTTTATTTTATGTTTTAAAGTTTGTTCTTTAAAGCATGAAAATAATGGACACCTTGTTCAAAACCTCCATTTTTGAATAATACATCATCTATCAAAATATTAAGTAGGAATGTTGATCTGTGTAGCACATCCATCCATGATCCAGTAAGACTGTGTTCAGATCTTCAACAGACTTTTGAAAACTGATTAGTTACAGAAGTGTCACTTGCATTTCACTTCTGAATACAATTATCTGCACACACGTGCACGTGGATGTATGTGTATGCCTTTGTGTGGGTGTATAATTATGCACATGTTGACTCACAAGTGCACAAACACTTTCATTCATTCTGCTCATATTGTGTTAAAAAGTTTGGAAGAGAAAAAGCTCTGTTTGGCTCATGGGCATCTACAGTCCTGCAGGGAATGCACAGATTTTGAATGCTGTTAAAACATACAACTAAACAAACAACCAGAAAATCCAAAACAAGCAAAAAACTCCCAACAAACAAAAACCCTGAAGCTTTTCAGCAGAAAATAGAGAATGAAAAGCAGATACAAAAATATTTACTGAATCAGTGAATCTGATTCACAAGCAATTAGGTTGTGTATTTCCTGATACCTGTGGAAATGCTGAATTATGCTTTTGGGTAAGGGAGTGCTTACCCAGGGTTTTCTCCTTGAATTCAGCCTATGCCTTCTCAATTTAGAGTATTTAATGTTTTCAGCTACAGGACAAATTCTACAGCATGAAATTGTAATCCATCAATTGCTTAACTATGGAAAGGTCTTACTGTTTTGTCTTTGGTAAATTGTTCCACATAGTCATTGGCAGGATCTTGAATTGTTGCTTAGGAACAATTCAGGTATCTCAGATATCCTGTAAAAGAGGTCTGAAAACTTTAGCCTCCAGTTGCTCTAAGACAGTACAAATCTTTTGGTGTTGAATGTAGTATTGAGGTTATTCTACTTTTTGGAAGAGTCAGAAAGCCATTTGATAATACTTTATAATATTCTGTGAGTGCAGCTTCTTTTTGCATATCTACACCTATTGTGCTAAAGGAAATACATTAATTTTCCAAAAGGCAGATACTACAAAATTCAGTTAATTTTGTGTGGTGCTGTGGTTACATCCACCTTCTTCTAGCAGAAATTGAATAGGATTTGTACATTTTCCTGGCTTGTAATTCAGCTTAACACCATTTTATTCCACTGCTGTTCATTACCAGCCATCGCTTTGGCTTTTACCCTTCAGGTGGGTATGTCTGTCTTGTGTCTCCTTAAAAAAAACAAGTTTCTTCTGTAAACACTGGGGAAGAACAGTCAGGATAAGCAGATATTATACTTACTGTGCTTAGAGCAATGTGCTGCTCTTTGTGTTGAAAACTGCACATGCAGAAGGATCTGTAGGCTGAGCTCAGTGGAAGACACATCATCTGGATGCCTGATTCAGTACAGAATTTTCTAGTGAAATCAGGAAATATTATAGTAGCTTAGAAATGGCAGAGCCCATCAAGGAAGAAAAATAATTGCAGAATTACAAAGGATGTTAAAATGTGATTTTAAGATTCTCTTACTTGAAGCTGTTACAAAATGTAGCTAATCCTGCTACTGGAACTAGATTATTTCCCATTAAAGCAAGGCTTAATTATTGTTACTATTTTTTTTAAGCTCAAAATGAATGATAACAGCATGCTATTAAAATCTGCTAATACAATTACTTTTTTATTAGCTAGATTGGTTTATCTCCCAAGGCAGAAGCTAAACACCTGGGGAAATGGAATATAGCCTAAGCCAATATATGATGTTTTGGACAGGGGTCATTACAGGTCAATAGTTGAATGTGACTTTCAAGTTAAAGTCTGTGAGGGTAGAGTAGGGGGAAAATGGCAGTAGCATTTTACTGAGTGTAAAGAAATTAGGAGCACATACATATGTCATTTTGAGATTGGTTATGATATATTGCAATGCTGCCTGCATTTTGTTTCCTGAGCATTTCAGAGGGATTGAAGGAAAAGAGCATATGAGGTGTCTGCAAACTAGATAAAATGATTGAAAGTAAGAGATTTATGGAGATTAGCTCAGATTATAAACTGTTTGCCGTATTAAAAAAAGATTAAGATGTGGTTTATTCTAGAATACAAGTAGGTTGAAAACAAGGAAAGTGAAAGAATTCATTTTAATCTTGGGAGAAAAGAAAAATATCTAAGTCTTGTGCATGAAGCAGATACAAGCCATAGTGTACACTTGTTGCGTAAATAATGGATTTTTCTTGTTTGAGGTATTCTGTTTCGAGATGGACACAGTTCTGTGATTTATTCTTAACCAAGAAGTTGCTGAGCCTGCTAACAGGAAAATAAGAGAAACACAGTTGACTGCAACATAGAGGAAGTTAATCCAATCTGGTTATAATTTTTTTGTCTTTTAACTGAAACTTCTGTAGTTTGAGATTCATCATCAAACTCAGAGGAGGAATATTCACTTAGGATTGCCATCTTAACAAGAAATTTATGATTGTGAATTTTTGTGTAATTCATATCTGATACTCAGCTGCATAATGACTCTTGGGACAGCTCAAATTTACTTGGCAGTTTTGTTTGCTTGTTTTGAGAATAGATATAACTATTCAGCAATTTTTTTATCTGTTAAACATGCCGAAAAAGAGCCAAAGAACACCACAACTAGAATGTTGATCAGCATTCTAGTTGTTTGGTCTAGATGTGACTTTGGAGAGGGGCTAAACAGAGGCAGAAATTTTACAATGTCTAGATGTAAATGTTAAGTCATTTTTGGAGCAGAGGAGAAAAAATTATTTCAGCTCTGTTTTTCTAAATCCAGGCTTGTAGAAGAATATCTTGTTCCCTTCCAGTAAAATTCAATATCTGAAGCATAGCTTCATACTCCAATTCTATGAAGTATTTATTACCTTGTAATTTAAAACTTCAATTTGTTTTGCAGGTGATTTTTCTGACTACGCTGTTCTACCTGTTGAGCTCCAGTGATGAGTATTACAAGCCAGTAAAATGGGTGATAAGCCTGACACCTTTGTCTCAGCCAGGTCCCTCCTCAAATATAGTTGGCCAGTCTGTGGAGGAAGCAATAAGGTATAGTGCTGATTTCTTGTCCTTTGTTGAAGATTCTTCTTTAAATTTGATGTTCAACTGGAAATAATTAACAATTGCAACAGCTTGCATTTCAAAGATGAGTTGCAATAAAGATTTCAAGAACCTAGCATTGATGATTTCTCCCCCACTTTGATTGTTAATAAAGCAACTTGATTGGACAAGGCTAAAAATTTTCAGAGGTCTGTGCTGTAATGAATATTAGTGCTACACCCATGACATCCCTAATTCATCAGGAAGCAGTGTTTGTGGTTGTGTTGGCAGTAACAGCTGATGCAGCTCAGGAGGAGCAGATGCATGCAGGAAGACAGTAGAAATGGAGGACCTGACAGCAGTGCTGTATGCAGTTCAGAATTATTTAGTTTGAAGTATTTTGTCTAATATCAGAGAATAAGTACCCATTTGTACTTGGAACGTATTAGATACACTTCTGGAGTATATTTTCCAGTTCAGTTTCACCTGAAAGAAATCTAGTTCATGATCTCCGTAAACCAAATTCAACATCAAAGGGAACACCAGGGGAGCGCTCTCCTTATCACACTTCGAACACTAGTGTGCTGCACCTACAGAGTGCATCCACAGTGTTTCATACTTAGTCACCATTTTTTTGTGTTGGCTCTAATTTAATCTAAGTAATTTAGTTATTTCATTAATTAAAGGAGAATTTTTTAATGTTTTAAATAAGGTTCGTAAAAATTTCACAATAAAGCTATTTTGGGGTGTTGCAGTAAAGTTCATTCATCACAGATGAATGAAATAACCTTTCAGCTGTAAGCAACTTGAAACACCTACATCCTGGTAATGTAATAAACTGGATTTTAAATAAGGTGTTGAAGTCATAGTGTACTTTTTAAAAAAGTTGATGGTCTGGACAAAGTGAACAGACTTTGTGCTGAATTCTGTATAGCCATTGCCTCTTATGCCACTGCTTTCTGTCATCTTGTGCATACATACAATACATGAGTAGGCTTTAAACTGGGGAGGTATTAAAGCTGCTTTCCAAACTCATTGCTAAATGTTTGCCATTTTAACAATGGCAAGGCTGTATTATGTTGCATAGGATCTTGAACAAGAGTGCTAACTGCTGTAGTCATTTGAAATGAAGGGGCAGTTCAAGTAGAAAGCAACAGATTTGGAATTTTGCCATAAAGTTAATAGCCCTTCTCTTGACTGACTGCTATTGAGTTTTCATTGATCACATGGTTAGTATCTCAGTTCTGTCTTTTCTGAGTAGTGTGAGTGGATTTAGAAACTGATACTTGTCTCACAAATTGTTCTCTTTAGCCCATGGTAGAGGGGAACAGTGTGAAAAAGTAGGATATTGTTTATCTGGGCATGCATACTATGTGAGGAGGATTTTATTAAATGCAGTTACAAGCTTACAGGTATGTGACACATGTGACCTAATGTATTTCTCAGAATTGGAATGGAGGAAAGAAAGAAAATCATTTTACAGAAGCCACAGGAAAATGAGTAGGAAAGAGCCAGCATGCATCAGTAACTGCAAATATGATGGGAAAAAGCCAGTGTTCGGAGAATCTGGAGAATGTGGAAGGGGAAGCAGCTTGTCATACACAAGGGACCTCAGTCTGTGTATTCACTAAGCCTGAATCAGTCACTCATGTTTGGTTGGAGTAGCCTGTACTTGGTGCCTTATTTGAATTCTTTGGAATGATTCTTCTGAGATTTTCAGAAGTTCCTCACTTCTCAGTTGTACCTAAGGATTTATCCTAATGATTCTCAGTTAGCTTGCATTCCACTCAAAACTTACTGTGATCTTCAGTACGTAAATATGGTGAGTGTCGTAACAATTTCCCATTAATTTATCCATGCCCAATGTGTTGCCATATGAAAAACAGTTGCTACTTCAAGCCCTTTCTTTTGTCCCAGAGAAGCAACAATTCTTTCTTTTTTGAGATCAGTTGTTGCTGCAGGAACATAAAAATGGCTTTTTCACCTCATCTGTAAATGGCATGCAAAATGGATGTTAGTGCTTGGTGGTAAGATGGAAGAGGCTCTATTTGTGTTATGAATTGTCAAATAATGAAACATCTGTAGTTGTTTTCATCATTAGACTATGACAGCATTACATAGTATGAATTCACCCTCAAAATATCCATGCTTTTAAGTTGACCAAAAAAATTAAGTTAATAAATCTCAAAAGTCATCAGCTGTGTTCCAGCTCCCACCACTCTTCAGCAGGACATGTGTAGTGGTTTAGGTTCACTGATTTGAGTTTCCTGGCCAATGCACCAATTAATGTGGTGGGTTTAGCGCTGGCTAAAATCACCAGTGCACTTACTCATTTCTTGCTTGAGATATGGATTAGGAGGAGGGCAAAAAGGCTCAAGACTTAAATAAAAGGTATGAAGAAAACTTTATGAACAGAAGAATAAAAATAATCAGACTAAAACCTTCAGAACACCTTTCGTCCCCTCACCCGACTTCTTTCCCAACTGACAATGTAGAGATAAAACCTGTGATTTTAAATCAGTTAACACCTCTACAATAGTCTTTCATCAGTTCTTGTAGGGAGAGGAGCTTTCTCTTGCCATGCCATGCATGGAGACTTCTCCACAAGAAACAGTTCTCTCATGGCTTTTAATTTCCACAAGTAGAATCTGCCCGGGAAATAATTTGCAACCATGAAGTTCCTGCCATTTCCCCAGCCTTCCCACAGCTGAGTTAATGGGCCATGTCAACTTACAGGGTATTGTTTTAAGGATGAGCTGCTCAAAGGCAAAGGTTCTCTTCATCTATCTTTGCGATTACCTTAATCTCTGGGAACAGAGGTCTTCTTCTTTCCATGGGGGCAAAGGGTCTTCATCATTCTCATATCTCTCTGTTCAAGCTTCTCATGGGATCACAACTCCTCAGCCTCTACTCTGCTTCATTATGGATACCTCTGCTCATATCTACAGTTTGAGCACTCCATCCCCCCATACTTTCTCATGAAGTAAAGGAGATATTCCAGTATATCATAGTCCATCTCCATGGCCTTACCAAAAGAACTTTCAGCCTCAATACTAGAGCATCTCCTCATCCTCCTTCCATCTGGGACTTGGCTCCTTCTTTACTGGCACTGGTGTCTTCACGTTGTCTTTCTACATGTCATCACTCTGTCCTTTTCTCTCCCTTGAGTGAGGATCAAGGTTTGCAGGTCCCATCTGTGTAGAAAAAGAGTTAATATCTTGTCCAGGCCTGCAGATGGCTGAGGCAGTCACAGTGATGGATTTCAGGCTGCACTGGGCCGCTCCCTCTGCCTGGCAGCTGCTGGGGCTGTGTGGGGGCCATGGCAGAGGAGGCCTGGCCCAGCCCAGAGCCACTCCCTGGGCCTGGTGGACCCCGGCTGGGCACGGGCAGCAGGGGCAGGGCTTAGTGTCAGCCAGATGTTAGTTGTGAACTGGCCCAGCTGTGGCTGGGGCCCCATGGCCTCCAGTCCCCCTGCCCCAGCCAGGCCGTGCAGGACACAGTGGAGCGGGGCTGGCCCCACCAGAGTTCAGTTACCTTTCAAGGCCAGATGCAAGAGAAAGATTTCCTGGGCTTGCCTGTTTTTAAAATGTAGAATTCACAGAGGTGGACCCAGCTTCTAAATGGTTTAATAGGTTGTCAGTTCTCAGAGCTAGCCAGCTATTGGTGTTCTCCAGGCACAGAGGAGCTCTTAGCAGCTTCTCGAAGGAAAATCATTGCTGTGGGTGGTTTCTTCCCTCTTCACCAATATCAATTAATGCAATACCAGCACAACATATCATATGCACAAAGCTAGGACAGCATCTAAGCAGTCCTGTCTAGAGGGCAGGAATTGTCCTGGCAGGAGATAGACCTAATCTCTCTGTTGCTCATAAACCAAATGACATAATCATCCTCCATGTTGTCAGTCACTTCTGTGCTCTTTTACTTAGACTGTGTTTGTGAAAAGCACTAGGAAACTTAGATGTAATCAAGGAAGTCTGTTCCCTTGTGTGCTTTGGCATTTATTTCAGAGGAAAAAGGGCAAGGGGGAAAGGAGGGGAATTGGCAACTCATTTCTGTAGCTCAAGAAATCCCTTATTTTACAGATGTTACCCAGCAGGCTCTTAAACAAAGAGCTTTTCCCAGTTCAGTTTCTCTCATTGGAACTGTGCCGTGGTTTTTGTTGTTTTTTTATTTTATGGACTATAAATAGCTATAAATTTTATGAATACTTTCCTAACTGCTTTGATGATGAGTTTGCAAATACAGTGACAGTTCTCTGTTCACACAAATAGATTTATGAGCAGTATAGGGGTAAGAGCAGCTTTCCAGGCTGCTTTGAGCCAACTGTTGAATCTCACTGTTTCTGCCAAAATACCATAGATTATAAATTTGAACTTGAGTAGCAGAAAAAAGTAGGCGCAGCTGTGGTGACACTATAGGAGTTTTGAAGAAGCTCCACCAAGGGCAAGTTGTGCTAGGAAAAGCATGAGCCTTGCTTTGAGGAGGTGACCATCCTAGTGGGACCAGAGGACAGCAGTGACTGCTACTTGCTCTGACTTCAGGAAGACTCGTGACAGCTTCCCACAGTAATCATCTGGGTGAGCATGAGCAGCAGAAGGGGACGGCTGTAGGAGCGCTGCTGTGTGCCCAGCAGGACAAGTTCCAACTCTTGCAATGCTGCTGTTAGTGGTATGACTCAGGGCAGTGATGGTGCTGTTGCTGGTGATGGTCTGGAGTGAGAGCTTGGGTAATGTGAGTCATCCTCTGCATGGCTATGGGTGTCCCTTCCCATCTGTAGAAGGCAGGACAGCTGATGGAAGGATGCCCTTGCCATGTGGGGAAGGCAGCAGCTTAATGGAAGGAAGGTTCTCCTCTTCCCCAATCCTTCAGGCCTCAGTGCTGAAGAGATGACACCTTTTCATGAGGGACAGTGGGAAAGAAGGGGCCATGCAACCCTTGACAGTCAACAAAAGAGTACTTTTCTAGGTCCCTCTAGGGACTGGAAGGCAAATGGCAATCTAAGGGGC